ATTAAAGTTACTTCTTAATGACTTTTGCTTATGCTTTAATATCTAAAATATTTTTTGGAGTAATAATTATGTATATATCATAGAAAAATATAATAAGTTGCACTAACTATTAAACAACACTCCAACTTTCTTACAGTTCATGGTGAACAGCAACATGCAGTTGCTTAAGACATTGACTGTGTTTTTACATAGGAATTTGAATATAAAGTAACGCCTTGTGCTCAATAGCTTACAACCATACCACGCCCACATGCGTTAGCCACTCGCACAAGTCCCAATTTGTAATGGAACATGCTAAAAACATTGCGCAATAATTTGCATTAAATGACAGCCGTAGACAAGCCGACTTGACCTGGTTAGCTGATAGTAAAAATGCAGTCAATACTCCTCACGACAGGTGTGAACAGATTATATACTGGTCACAAGATTCCATCTGGCCACGGCTACTATGTTAACGAAGACCCAATCAAGTAATAAAAACGTTTTAATTACCCAAGTTCTGGACTAAAAATACATTTTATATCATTAAAGAAGAACACAGCTAGCTACTTGATATTAAGTCAATCAAGAATATTTAGTTAGCTACTTAACTGTCAAAGTCAAACACGAATATTGACAAGCGGATACTCTGTAGATTCATGTCTTAAGCTTATGGGAAACAGTTGCATCAATAAATTCTATTCAGCTGTGCAGCAAATTTCTCACGGTTTGTCACATCATCATAGCATAATAGATTTTTACTTATCACATACAAATATAATTTATATTCAATTTAATACATATTATATATTTTGATGCTACTTCTGCAATGAATCTTTATACATGCAGTCAAAAATCTATTAAAGCCAATTAATGTTGTTTGACTCAGTCTTTTGTTAATTAGCATTAAATTGAACCAAGTTCGCCACAAACTAGATACATAGATAGATATAAGAATATATATATATATATATATATATACATATATGAATCTAAGTAGCTGGCAATTATTGGAGGAGGAGACGTTTGCCATTCTGTACGCTGTCATTTCGAATGTCAAACTTGAGTTGCTACTAATTGCCCCAAAGTGTCAAGTAAATATTGTAAATACTGTTTTTGTTGCTGCTGCTGTTGCCGCTGAGCTTGGTTTGCCGGTGGGGCACATTCTAGCGCCTGTGACATATCACGAACTTTGTTTTGTGAAATGCAAATTCAGGCAAATGATAAATTTGCATTGCACTCGCATTGGAATTGAGTAATCACCACAGATATTCGTAGAAATCGAAAGGCATGCGTGACTCGCCAAATAACTGACAAACCCCAAAACTTCGCCAAAATCGGGCAAAACAAAACGATTGACTTACTGCCCAACTGAACCCGTCTTTGAACTCAACTCGGGTAATACTCATAATCACCAAATAATTGAACTTTTAACTGGCCAACGCCGCAGGGCGATGTTAACAAAAAACATTTTGTATAAATACAAGTTAAATGGATTTGATTACTGAATGAAAGTTACGCAATCAAAAATGAGATAAAGAGGCTTCTGTGCCATTCAAATTGGTGAGTAAGCATCATTTTGAATGAAATACAATTTAATGCCAGGATAAGCTGTTGAGTTATAAATTATTGTTCATTTACTTTGAACTATAAGGGTCATTAACATTTTGGCACGTGTTGTATAAGGCTTCTCGGAATAAAGAAAAACATAAATACATATAAGGATTTGTATCGATCTCAGAAAATGTGCGTATTCATATAGGATGAGTTTTGTTGCCAGCGGTCAAATCGTTTTAAAATATGTTTCCTTACTATTCCAAAGACGATATCATTTTCAAGTTTAAAATTTTCAATAATTTTCAATATCGACTAAGTAGTTTCTATGAAATCGTGACAAAGACATTCACTTTACAATGTTGGGTTCATCCAATAGATGGAATCATGAAATGACTGTAGGGTGAAATAAATTCTCAATGGGAATCTTAATCACAATAAGCAGCTGAGCTGTGACTAAGTCTTAACTAACGTTGAAGGTTATTTCAGCTACTGAATTTAATTAATACAATAGATTCCCAATCGTTTAGCGAAGATTCAATATTCCTTTTCTACGATTTGTAAAGTATTTTAGTTTAGATCGCCCGCAGTGCTTAATCACGAGCCTCTTCTTGATTTTAACATAATTGCATTAAATAGACTCGGCTGCTCTCGCTTGTTATGGTTGTAATTGTATTTGTTTTGATTTCTGATTTGTTTACAAGTCATTACGTAATGAATTTGAGTTTTTTTTGGTTTTTTTTTGTGGCTGACGCTGCATTTCTTATTGTTGTTATTGTTAACGCTAAACCCTTGTAATTGAACTTTGAACTAAAATCGATGTTGGTTAGTTTGTAGGCCAGAGCCAATTGATTTCAATTGTTACACAACTAACAGCAGAAACAGGGTACGCCCAGAAACAGAAACCGGGGCCTTGAATGCATTTGAGATTAACGGAGATGCCTGGCCAGAGCTGCTCCAAATGCGCTTTAGTCGGCTAGATCAACGACATAGAGGCAATCACAAGAGTCGCTCTGCTGAAACTCAATTATGTCGTTTAGTTTCACTTGAGTTTGTCTGCTAATGCACTTTTTTTTACGTGGTTTTGTGGTGCAGTGACTTGGTTCGCAAATGTCAATCAGACCCCGTACGCATTTCTAGGCGCAGTCTGGCATGTGGCATGGCTCGCCCTGCCCCATGCCACAAGCCTCAGCTGCTGCCAGCTGATGTTAGAACTGACTGGCAATGCGTCGACTTCATTAAGATAAATATCTGTGTTGGCTGTTCTATTAGCTGCCATAGCTCAGTGTATATATTGCCAAACGGTGTACAAGATAACCTCAACCACATACAATGGTATTTATATACCCTTACATATTCTCAAGCTTTTCATACGCTTGAAATATTCATATTATTTACTTTCAAGTGAACCCTAGCTGGTCTTTATATTAAATTTATTTAAAACGAATTAGTAATAATTTATTACGTAAATACGTATTTAATCATTAATATATTATTATAGTGTTTTAGAAAGTCGATCAAATGTTTGATTTTTTTCATTGGATATTTTAATGTCGTATTCAAATTCAATTACTTTTTTGCAACACTTAACATTTTGCAACATTCATATAATATACATATATTTTTGTTGATAAGAAAGGGATTGTCAACATATTTATTATGTATTTAAGTCGCTACCTTTTATAGTCAATGGGAACATGTCGTTTGACTCCATTATGCCAGGGTAGACGAATTGTGAATTAATTTCGGTTCGTTAACTTGAAGTCGGTACGCATTAATGACTTTGTTAATGGCGTTAATTAAAGTGCTCAAAATACATATTAAAGGCAGGCCAAACAAAAAGATGTGCAAACAAAATAAGCAAAACTTTTGTTCAGAAACTTTAAAGTATCTGATGCATCCGATAACTTAGTATTATGCTTAACTTCTGTTTTGTTTGTGAGCCCCTGACCAGACCATTAAATGTCAATCAAATGATCAGAATTGTTTCATATAGCCTCAAGTCCAAGCTCAAAGTTTTTTTTGTATAAATATAACTGGGGCTTTTTTTGTGGTTTTTTGTACACAATTAAAAGTCGTGGGAATCGAATTTGCATATGCAAATCGAATACATGTTGCTTTTATTTTAGCGAATTTTAGTTGTTGGCTAGTTTATGCATTGTGTTGCTTTGTGCTTGGCCAATGTCAAAATGTAATTATTAAAAATAGAAAAAGAAACAAACCAAAAAGTTACTTTCAAGGCGGAAGTGAATGTGTGTCCGGATGGCATATGCAGAATTTTTATGATCCATCCAAATTTTGGTGTGCATCAATTCGGAACAAACTTGCTCTACACTTATTTTTGAGAGCTCAATAGATTTTCGCACATATTTGAAATGCCATTAAATGAAATGCGTTAAGCAGTTAACACGCTGCAATTGTAACTGGATATATGTAAGAGCCGACAAATGTTTATCGACTGCAATACATGAATTATTCATTAGACGGGAGTTCAGGTCCCGAGTACCAAGACTCTGTTGACTTAAATGATATTTGGCACATTTTGGAGTCCACACTTCCCGAGCATTTGTTCGCCTTGGTGTTTGACAATCTGTCGCTCGCAGCTCGTATTGTATGTTAATTTGTGTTCATTACAAGCAAACTGTTGTTGCTGCTGTTGTTATTGGATCTACCGCAGCTGCGGCTCAAAATGGCTTATTCAGCTCGATTTCATTTGAATCTCGAATCAGGATCCGAATTTGACATTTTCAATTTCAATTTAGCGACTGCACTTCATCGTTTCGCATTTGCCATGCTTTGTGCGCTCAATTAAAATTAATATGCAAATTTGTCCAACTATCTTGGCTCTCCTGAGACAACTGACATCTGTCGGATTGATTAAAGCCAACTAAATGAATTGAAATCAAAACTTATTATTGTAATTGCAAACTTTTACTGATTTCATTGCAAAGTGAAATCTGGAATTTGCAGACTCAGACAAATCGAGTTGACATTGTTGTTTAAACAAAGCAGAAACCTGATCTAGAATATCAAACAATGTGTTGCGATAAATTATGTATTTATCTTGTCCAATTGTATATTTATACATTGATGACATTTCGAGAATGTATATTTTTTCTTTTTTTTTTGCATTGTTTGAACAGCATCAGCTGAACTAGCGTCAGGTTATATATTTAATTTTTTATTTAGAGCTTTGATTTCTGGTTTTATAGAACAAACTTGATTTTATGTAATTTTCACGTTTTATTATTAAGCAAATATTTGTATTTTCAAGTGGAAAACAAAAGGGGGAAAAAAAATCTTAAACCTATGAAAGATTAAAATTTTTTCCTTTTTTTTTTTATTTAAGTTCAACTAATTGTTTGAACAGTTATATTTCAAACTGCAAGATTTCAGATATTATGGTGTGATATATATAGTACTTATTTCATCATCAATAGAAGTGTCAAAATTCCCAGAAGACTCACCTTCAAAATTTAGTATAACAATTTATATCCGCAATAAAATATATATATAATCCAAATATGATGTATACGTCGCAGCTGCAAATGCAAATTTATATTTATAAATGTTAATTGACATATAGGAAATAGGAAATATTATGTTTTCGACAATTGTTATTGTGTTGCATAAAGCACATGCAAATATTAATTATTATTTATTATTTGTGAATATTAATCCCGCAATAAGGATGCGTCGAAAACAGCTTATAGAGTATACGTACAACGCCTACACTTCACTTCCGCGCCGTATACGATTAAGGTCTATACAATAAATTGAAGGCACTTTTCGTCGCGCACGCGATGCTTTCGGTCTGAAGCCGTTTGCTCCACTGAACCACTTTTTATGCAACGCCAAGTTGAAGTAGCCAGCGACTCGATCAGCTTTGATCCGTCTCGCAACCGAAGTCGAGGCTTAACTCACAACCGAAGCTGCTGCCGAGATGCAAGCGAATGCCGAAGCTGTCCAGGCCCCAGCGAAGATACGTGTACGGTTTGTGTCTGGTTTGTGTCTCGACTGAGCGTGTCCACAGCTTATGCAAACAAGTAGAATTGAATGCATTTGATTATCATCTTTATGCGAGCTGTTGCCCATGGCCTTTGTTTGACTTAATTAAATTTGCAAAAATAAAACAAAACTAAAATTGGATTTTTGGCAAGCTTTGCGGCCAATCGATAAGCCACGTTAGATGTTAGTCTGAGACAACTTTGCATATTGTTTATGGGCGTTTGGATAAATCATTTCCAAATTAGTCATAAATTGCGAACCGAATTCATAGTAAACGGATCGCCAGTGGCGCTTTGAAATTGGCAAACAATTCATTTTTCAGCTGCACGCTCCGATTTTTATGATTATAGAAATCATAAATTCAATTTAATAACTTTATTCGGCCAATGCAAGTGGAATTCTTAGTGCTGCTCATAGAAACGCCCCGTTTTGGCTCGCTGCATTATCAAGTCATAAACAATAACAAAGTGGCAGCGTGTGCATGTTAAATTTCATAATCACTTAAAGTTGTAGCATAATTTTCTGTTCGACATCTGCATGGATTGCATGGAGCATGTCGTTCGATCAGCGATATTGCTGTTGTTTTTGTTGTTAGCTGTTGTTGTCAGCCTCAACAACCTCAATGGGTCGCACCAAAGTGAGTGTGAAATATTGCACTTTGTCTCAACACGATTTCCCTGGGCTCAAGCTGAAGTATTAACGGCTTCGGCCAAAGCCATTGACAAAATATGCACCAAATATGGGATCAGTACATACGTAAATAAGTCAGTTCAGCCGGAATATGGTCAGGCGAATTGTGAACTACGCCAAGCTAAATGTTATCTAAATGGCATTCATTTCACTCTTGCATAAACTTTGACAAGCCTGTCTACAAAAAGGTTATGCAATTTAGCCAGACAGCCAAATGATGCCAACAACTAATTATTATTATGCATTGAATGCCAAGAGCTTCTTCTATTTTTATGACGACTTCTCTAAGTCATGAAATATGTTTTTCAGAACATTAATATTTTTATAATAAATATTACTTACTTTTCTCGGATTTAACATGTAGTCAGAAACATAAGAAATCAAATAATAATTTAGTGATTATATTCATAGTTCATAAGGCTATTCATTTAGCACCCAAATACTTTTCGAAGGGTATCTACTCTTCGAGTCAGTGCTGGAAATTATAAGATATATATTTCATATTTTCGGTATGCTATTGTCAACTACTTTTATCTTCATTTCTATGGATGAGGAACTTGCTATTGCTAAATTGCCGAACCAGTTTTTTGCCTAATTTGATTGATATTCTTTTGTGTATGTTGAAGTGTTACTGTCACTTTCAAATCGACTGTTGACAAACGGTCGTGATTGCGATTTCCTGTTTCATTTGAATAGCAATGCCGAAAATATGCATGATAAAACAAATTTGAACATTTCAACGCCTTCCATTTAATACCCCAACATTTAACACCCGACAGACAGCGAGTACGACTTGGTTAACATAGATGCATAGACCACCCTGAGTAATGTCTTGTCAAATAGCTGACAAGTCAATTGACGTTGATGCTGACGCTTTTTGTTTGCTTCCACCGCCTTTTGGTGGCTAATGCGATCCAGACACGCAACGCCTGAAAGTCATCGTCAAATAATTCCCACCGAAAATAGTCAACTTTAATAACAATAAAAACAACAACAAGAGGCACGTTTACAGCAAATAAAATTAGCTGCCTGTCTTAGTAATTGCGGCACGGCCAAAGCCAACAGCCAGCCAAGTTAGCCAAGTTACTAACAATCGCCAACCACGACGACGATGACGATGTGGACGTGAGCTCAGGTTGACTTTGAGACTGAGGTTTGAGCCTGCATTCTCCATTTGGTAAGAAGAACGAGGGATGGCAAACATATTTTCCATTAAACTATCAAGGTTCTGTATTTGAATCTGATTACGAAATATGAACCACAATTGGTAATCACCTATGACTAAGTAACTTGCCTTTTTCGTGTAGCTTTAAGTCACAAATAAATATTTGGGAATCACGTTTGAATTGTGGCTTATACCAGTTTGAAACTGTTTTAAATTAATATAAATAAAAAAAATCGCACTACGCACTTTTAAATCAAATTCGACATTTTCAAATTAATTTAAAACCCATTAAAATTTATTTCTAAACGCCATTTTTCAAATCAACCGACTACTTTAAAGGAAAAGTATATTTCATGGTCGATATAAATGACAAAAAACTGCAATCTTCAATTCATTTATTTTTTTTTGAAGGAAATTCAAATGGCATCTTCATAAAATACAGGGTCTCTAGAGGAGGATTACTCTTTGTGTTACTTGCTGGTTTTTTGACGTCGTACGAGATTAATTTTTCGTATTTACACCGAAAGTTTTAGCGGAAATTGAAAAATGTTTAAGCCAAAAATTTTTAATGAAAAAAGTGACAAAGCAAAATGCGTTTGACGATAACGCCTGACTCGGATATACCCTGTACTAATAAAGATGGTACGTGGCTGTCAATTATCCAGTCTAGGATGCAACCTTAAAAATGTTCAACAAGTTCTTACCCATTTAAAAAATATTCGTTCCAAATAAATTTTACAAGAGAAATATTGTAAATTGTAACATTTGGGTTAAAATTTTAATTTTAAAAATGTGTACGATAATTTTAAATTTTAAAAACATTAAGTAAATTAATAAGTTTATATTATTTTCAGTTGCTGATGATTGGAACTAGTTCACTGCATATAAATTGCTTGGCACTAGAATGTTTTGAGTGGATTTTGCATTTGAGGAAAAGAACAGCCAGACGGAGAACTTTTTTTGGCTCGCCAACTCGTGCAGCTCTAGCTGTCTTGGCCATGTTGCAATTAACTGCCAACTAAACAGCAATTGGCCACAATTATTATTATTATCATTTTCGTACGGTTATTTTTGCAATGTTTTTGTGTTTTGTGTTTGCTCGCGACTTTTGCAGTTCTTGTTGTTGTTTGTTGTTGTTGTTAGTAGCAGCAGCATTTGGTAATTGTTTTTGGCATGTTTACCATTTTGGTTAGCTGGGCTTTGGCCCGTACATTTATTTATTTATGTGCACTTGGGCCATATTAAGCATGTGTCTACTGCCAATGCGATTTACACTATTCGCTGCTGGCTACTGTTTGGCTGTATTGGGTGCGTGGATACACATGGGGCAGCCGCAGATTTAGAAACAGATTCCGCTTTAGACATCGGTTACGCCAATGACCTTAATTCGCAATGGTCAAAGCTCGTTTATCTTCTGGCTCCGCCAATTTGCAGCGCATATTTCACATTCGGCTTAGATCTATTCAGAGTTCAACTGCTGTTTGGTTTCTATGTCATTTGTTAGTCGCACAGCGTGTGGGCCACTGGCGGATCTGAACAGTTTGGAAAATGCTATTCAGTAATTCGCAAAACATTGATTACAACAAGAATAGCTTTATTTTTAGGAGTATCTAAGCATAGGTGATATCAGATAGAAAATACATGGTTTGTTAGTTAATGTTTTTGTTTTTGTGTTACATAATGCAAAAATTGCATCTTAATTATATCATCTTTTAATCTAACATATTTTGCTTAATATTTTAAAAATATTTTCACGGTATGTGTATATTTGCACTATTTCAACCAGGAACTGCCCATTTATATGTATTGTTAACTCGATAATCCATTTTTAAATGGTTGCTTAAAATATTACAGTATCCAATATTGATGCTACGTATACATATTTATTTTAGTATATACTAATATAATATATATTATTCATTTATTTTCAATATTATAATGCACCTTTTTATAGACTTGTCAATAAATACTAAGCCTGTTAATAAAAATGTTAATATTTGTATGCAAATAGCAAGGAAAAGAAGGGTTTTAATATTTAAGTTGTTGTTTTTTCAACGTTTTCACAGCTGTGGCAAATCAATTGCATTTAAATAAATATTACTTAAATATATTAAATTCTTTGCATTCAAGAGTTTAAATAAACGTTTGATCTCCAATGCTTATCTTTATTTTATTCTTGTAAACTGTAAATACAAATGTAATATTCAATATAGAGTTAGATATAGAATGGTATACGTTTTGATTAGGTAAAACATTTTCAAAGTTGAGGTACTTCAAATTACTGCCATAAATCGGACCTTTTGGACCTGCTCATTGTCTGCCTTTGTCTGCCTCATTTGAATCACTCGAATCAATCGCATAACTCGAATAGTTCGAATCATTCGACTCATTCGATTAACTTCATTTGGACTTAGTCTGTCTCTCACTCTGTTTCTCTTTCTCTCATTGTCACTGCCTCTCTGTCTGCCACACTCCATGATAACGCTCAATGATAAAGCGGCTCTCGCTCTCGGAACTCAAGATTCTCATCCTCATCACTGACATACATGCGGGTCAAGTCCGAAGCCACTGAAACATTGTCGCTGCTGCGATAAGAATTGAAGATGTTAAAGACATCGGCAAACATTAGCAAACATCGGTATTAACTTGTAACAACAAAAAAAAACAACATTTATACTAAGCATAAATGAAGAACCCTGTTAGTAATTTCCATCCCAAATAGCCGCGCCTTTAACGGCAGCACCACACAATTAAATAATATTAGAGTTCGACATGCAACCGCCTCCAATTTTGGATTGAAAATCGAATTCGCCTTAAATTGAATAATTGTCCGCCATAAATTTATGTGAGACACTGTAAAAAAATGCTTGGCATGCTCCCAACGGCCGACAGAGCGACGATCGTTTGGTCAATTGGTAAACCATTGGCTGTTGGTTCCATTGACAGCCTGACATTCTGTCAACATCTCGAATCTCGATTTTCCAATTCGATTTGATTTTGTGTTTTGTTTAGGCATTTGCGCAATGTGTCTAATTGTCAATTAGCTGACCGAACTGCTCTTGGCGTAGTGTCTGGTCTCGTTCTCAAACTCAATCACCGAGCTGCCTAACTCACTCACTTTGCCATCTCGTTTCCATAGACTGATGCCACCATAGCGCTGTACTCCTGATCCAAGTTGCTGGCCCGTGCGAAGTGTGCACCCGTCACATCAAGCCGTTCAAACGATGACTTCATCACCGCATCCAAATTGGCGTCCGCCACAGAGGTGCACATCAATGCACCTGCCAAGGATTGCGATGACACAGTGCCACCACAGCCGGAGCTGTTGCTGTTTTCGTTATGTGACGCCGAGAAGCTGCTATTGCCCATTTTGGTCAGGCAAGCCAGTGTGCTGGTCGGATTCGCAACACACAACAGTGTCTGCGATGCCTGGGATGCGGAGCAATTCGATTTGCCCATGCCCTCATCATCGGCCGTCAATGTCGTGGAACTGACGCTGTAAATAAAAAGAGTAAAATCGATTCTAATATAATTTGGCAAGAATATACTAGGCATAAAATTGATTAAGTATAAAGAATTAAGTATAAATTTTATAATTGTATTAAGATCAATATTTTAATAACAGGACAGGATTTTTAATAAGTTTTGCGCTGGCTGTAGGTCAATACCATCTTAAAAATTAAAAAAAAAGTGCCCACCAAACAATAAGGGATTTTGTCTACAGTTGAAGTGACTTTTAAACAACCATAAGCATAATTCAGACAATTAATTTTTGCTTAGTCACGTTAGACTTGGCAGCTCATCTAACAAGCCCATCTCACAAGCAAAAGAGTACAGAACTGAAAAGAACAGAGCAGAGCCGTATACTGTGCTCTTACAACATAAATCGTTGTTCAATTAACCCTTTGATTTTTTGGCTCATATATATTTTCACACCCTGTAGCCAGGCCCAGTGGCGGTGAGTCAGCGGCTCAAAACTTGTTTATTTAATAATTAAAATGATTTATGCGACTGATTGATGTGGTGCACTGCAGTGCACTGCACCGCAATACACACCACTCAGACTAACTGGTGTCCATGTTTGTCTGCATGTTGTGCTTAATGCCTCCTCGTCAGTTGGCTGCACATAAATTGCAGCCGCCATAAAGCAAAATGTTAACAACATTGTGGCCAAACCCAAGAAAAAAGAAATAAAAATGCGCCTCATAGAAGGTCGGCAGTTGAACCCACAGTTGCAGTCAGCATTAGATTTCGCTGTTGTTTGACCAACTCTTCTGCCTTCTTGCCTGCCTGCTGCCGTTTTTTTTTAGCGAGTACAATAGAATGCAATTCAAACTCATATTTACTTGAGACAGACATTTTGGACAGAGAGTCAACCCACACGGGCCACACAAAAAACTGTGCTCAACTACTGGGTAGGCAGTTTGGATTTGTCGGCTAGTTTGCTTCCTTGTGGGCCGCACATGAAAATGTCAATTTCAATTTTCGCCAGGCGTCACAGTTAATTACTTTGGAAAATTGCATTTTGTTAACGCCCACGTGCCGCAGGCGAATAAAGTCCATGAAATAAGTGTTTGCCTCGTGACGCCTTTGTGTTTAAAAACCCATTAAATAAAGTCAACAACAATGGCCACGAAGTGAATGCGCCTGAAGCTGAGATTGTTGCCTCAAGTAAATGAGAATTACACGCGCATTTTTGTAGAAAAGCTTCGATTTGATGGCAGTTCATGATGACATATTAAGAGCTGTTTACTTAATGTTTCGCACTTGATTGACATTCACATTTGGCAGACACTGGTTAGGTTCTGGTTTTCTAGTTTATGTGGATAAGTTAGTTTTTAGATAAAAAATTCATCGGTTTTGGTTGTTTTCACAGATTCCGCATGCCAAAATGTTTATTGACTTTAATTGAAACCTGTCGCCTGCATTCTTAATAGATCCACACCTTGAGTTAGTTCAACCGATCAGCTGAGCTTAAGTCATATTGGGGAAACGATTGGCATACACAATAGAACTAGTTTGTCATTTCTCGAATCGAGGGAAGCGATCCATGCACGCATTCGATCGATCTATGGGTGCGATCTCCAGCTGCTGTTGATTGTCGGGCCTTTGACCATCGCACAACTTGACTTGACTTTTACTTTCCGCGTGCTCCGACCAACAGCCAAAGACCCAAACTCGTTTCACATTAATGCTAAAATGCAGCAGAGTATCTTAATAATAAATGAAATATCAACAAAAATATTTCACATGCCGTCGGAGCGTAAAGCGCCAAAGACTATTTTCGGCTAAGAAAAAAAAACTTGTTCGGATATCTCACTCTAACTTTTGCTATTTCTCATGGGATTCAGATCCGCTGAACCGGCTGCGTACCTTAGAGATGAGGATGCAGTTGTAAAACCCGCTATTTATCATTAGGTATATGTCGGCAGTGGCTTTGATTTGGCCCAAAGCGTTGCTTTATCTGATTATTTATATTTATAGTCTCTATAAATGACTCCGTTCAATTAGTTTTTATCAGCAATGGTCAATTGTTAATTGGTAATTGGTAATTGGCAATTAGTATCGCTGCCTAACAAGCGTTGTTTAAATATCTTACTGAACACTGAGCGAAAATCTTTCACATTCTACGTTCTCCAATCAAGTATAACACTAAAGTGCTTTTTTATTGTAAGAAAAACTCAATATTTATTAGCTATACTAATTTATAAATATATTTCCTTATTATTTTAATTAATTTATATAAGAATAACTTTTTAATAATACTTTTTAAATTATTTTCCGATTGTTTTTGCGAGTTCATATTTTTTTTTTTTCATTTTAAACTTAATTTTAGAGTATTTTTAGATAGTTTAATATTAACTAAATTTTTAAGGAGTTCACATTTGATTTATTCCTATTTTAATAATACTATGGTGAACTGTTTGTGCTGAGTGAAGCGTTGATTTTTGGTATTAAAATAGCTGAGCTAGTTAATGAGGTTAATTATTTTGCACCGCGGCGTCTTAATAAATTCATATAAATATTGATATTTTTGCTACCGTCCGCAGCGCTGCACCGAACAGTATCCATCAGATACAAGATTCAAATACTGAGCGTGCTAATCGCGATGACTTCATTTCATGTCGCACTGGGAGCGCTGCTGACAGAGGTCGGGCAATGTATCTCATGGACAACATTGATTTGAATTCAGTTTCAGATTCAAACAACCGATGCGAAAACTTTAAAAAGGTGTTAAACGACAAAACTGTTCGCTCCTAAACAAAAATCTGGGGCAAAATGGCAATTGGCGGCTTATGAATGCGCTAGTTTTCATCAATATCTCGTATTTATATCAAACGAAAACATCATTTAACTTTAAAGTATTTTAATAAAATAATAATGCTTCTACATTAGATATTTCAAATCTACTTTCGTTCATTTCACTTATAGGTAACCAAACATCAACTCTTAAAATATATGCTGCTGTTCGAGACAAAGTATCTCAATGTTCGAAGCCAATCCCAAAATCACAAAACTCTTGCTGATGAGCTTGGATACATTAAAATGTGGGACCTAAATAATTTACTCAAATTTCGTAAAAACCATTCATTGCTTACGGTTAGTCTTGCAAAATATTAATTCGTTGTTTGTTTTTGTTTGCTACCCAAAGTGATATTCAAATCTGAATCACCATATAAATCGTTTTATACACTCCTCTCCACCTGTTGCAAGTAGCCTGTTCAAGCCAAGCAATGCTCCTACAGTAAGAGTTCACAGAGTGAACTTATCATCGATCTTAAATTTATGTACAACACCAAATATCAAATGCAAACACAACAACAAAAATTATACAACTATCATAAACTGTACGCAAAATGCCGTTCAATATGAGCAGCAGGCGATCGTGTGAGGTCCAAAAGGCCCAGAGATGCAAGCAGTTAGATAAATAAACACACACATGTGGCTAATACCGAAAACGGATGAACAGGCTTATGAATTTAGCGACAGGGAGACAATTCTAGTGCACCGTACAACTGCGCTCCACAGCCAAATAAAACAATGGCCAACCGAGCCTGACATTTACGCTAGTCCGAGCTGCGAGAGTTGCAAGCTGTAAGTTGCAAGAACTGCAAACTGGCGGGTCGGCTACAACTGTCAACACACGAAAGCAAATGTGGTGTGCCCAGGGGTCTTAAAGTTCATAAATTGCATTTTGAGGGCGCCATGTAAACAATATGTTGCAGAGCCAGCGTCTTAACGGCTGCCGTGTGCCATAAATCTGAACCGTTTTTTTTTTCAACATTTTTTGTCCGCTTTTGTCTTGGCACTTACCAATCGCTAATATCTGCAGCTGAACCCGGTCGCTGATTACATTTGCTGCGCATGACCACCTGCAGCCAATTGGGCACCGGTGGTGTCGGATCCGGCGTATATCTGCCAGAATGAAAATCAATCAGTTGAGTCTTTAATTCAATTACATTCTTTCCATGTGGTTACGCACCTGATGATGGAGTTACAATGCTTGGCCTTGGGCACGGCAAAGATGTCAGTGCAAGAGGCTATTGAGGAAGCTGCCGCGGCCTTCTCCACAGCTGAATCCACTTCGGGAATGACGGGCAGCTCATCAGATCCAGCGATATCGGCCTCCAAACTGCTCATGGATCTCAGAGAGTTGCGGGGCCCAGTATTGTGATAGCCCGAAGAACCGCTCAATGAGGCCGTATCGTCCAGTTCGCTGGGATCGAACTTGAGTGTCACTATAAGAGCCGAAGATGAGGAGAAAGAGAGAGAAAGGCACAGAGCATATCGAAATACACCAAATGACACACACACACACACACAGTCAGAGAGATGTTGAGAGATTCGTGCATGGAACCAGGAATATTTGGGGGTTTGATTTTAATTTTAATTTATTTATTTTTTGTTTATACCCTTAACCCATTTAAAGTGGACTAAAGGGTATAAATGAAGTTGTTTTCTTTTGCGAATGCGACCGAAGTCGGTCGAAGAGTGGAGGGGGTTTGGGATGTGGGGGGGCGATATTCCCATAATCAAAATTTGTGTCGTCGACAAAGAGAGCAAAAATTATTGATAACGGTATATACATCACCTTTTTCAATTTGATAGAGTGGTTAGGGTTTAACTCACGTTTATCCAATGATCCCAGTTTCTTAGCCAGACCATACAACGTCTCTGGCGTCCAAAAGTCCGGTATACGGGCAAAGATCGAACCCGCATCCGCCGGCAATTGTATTCCCAATTTGTGAAGTAGCAGCACAAACGGCTGATAGAGCATTGTTGTCGACTGCTCGTTGTTCCACTGTACCACCGGTACAGACTTGTGCTTCAAAATACAATGATAGGCCACTGGCTCCATGACGGGATCCACCGCGGGAAAAGTCGTGGTACACTTCATCATCAACTTGATGTAGCAGCACTCCAGCAGTAATTTCTGCAGCCACACCAAATGGTGTGACTTGTTCTCCTTAATAATCAAATCGCGCAGAATCTGTTTAAGAAATTGATTGGCCATTTAGAATATATATATATATATTCGTGCTAAGTACATGACTTCCTCCCTTAACTCACCTGCACATCGTCCGAGGGTTTGCCATAGGCGCTATCTTTAATGTCTATGCCGGATTCGGTTGAGGCCGATGAGGGCGTGGTCAGCAGTGTACGCTGATACTCGGCATCCTCAAACCTCATCAGATCATCATACTCCAGCAATGTTATGATATCCTAATTTAAACTCACTTGATTAATATGACTTTCACAATTGTATAAATGCCAGGCTCACCTGTTGCAACAGCTGCTGTATAATCGCAATTCTGGTCTTTATCTTGTTGCCATTGTTGCTGAAGAGCTTAACGATCTTGCCAACAATATCGATATTTTTCTTGCTCTGCACATAATACCAATAAAGTGTATCCATCTCCTCCTGTGACCACGTACTATTAAATATAGTTAAATTATACACATTATTGATACGAGAAAAAACCAAAAAAAAATCAATCTTATCTACAGTCTAAGGAATTAAGCAAGAGAGAACCGCTTTGACAAAATTAACCACATTAATCCTTTGATAGATAAATCTTAACAACTATTAAATATTCGTTTAGACAATCTTGAATTCCTGAACATATATTAAGTAAAAAGTATCCTATACACAAATATTTTTCTGATAATAAATATATTAGTGAAATAAGGGAAAAAATATATAGACTTGGGCTGAGACAACTAGAAATTTTAGTTTATACTCCAAAGAACTGAGAAAACGTTGCTTGAAAATATTTCTTGGCTAATTTCATAGACCAAACTTCTGGGTTAAGGCAACTTCAAGTAAATGCATGCAAGAATGTACAATATTAAATGACAAATATCTGGATCGGCCATATTTTATGTTTTTCATACTTAATAAATTTTTTTTCAAATATAAATACCAAATTAAGGCGTTACATTTTCGAATTTGGAATCCAGTTCATCTATAACCAGTTAACCAGTTAACCATGTGATCAATTTGGATAAAATATCTGCAAAAACAAATAGCTTTTCATAGAAAACAAAACAAGTTTCGGCAGAGAGCTCCCAAAAAATTTTTTAAATATAGTTGTTCGATATTACTTTCAACATCAAAATGCAATAGGATATCTCTAATAAAAACAGAACAGTTTTCCAATATATATTCGAAAATAATTCAATTGTAAGAAGGAAACTTTAAGGCCAAGCAACCAGATTGTTATATTATAAATGCAATGTTCTTCTAATAAGGAACTTATATAGAACTTTTGCTGAGTACTCACCATAAAGTATGCTCCTGATTGTGTTCCTTAGTCATTTCGGTTAAAGAAGTAGTTGGTAGCGTCAATGGTGATTTGGGCGGTGTGTTCATAAATTTGTGTATAACATACTCGATTAGATCGGACCAATCCTGCAACAAAAAATAAAATGTAAATGTAAGAAAAGTAATCCTTGAATGTTTAAGTTAAGCTTACATCGCATAGCCCATAGTCGGCCTCCCAAATGCGAGAGTAGGTCTTCAGTATAATCGGCTGAAAGAGAACACCAGTGTGGCCCAGATCGCCACCAATATGATGCATCATAGTAAAGATGCAGTCGTTAACAAACTCGCCATTATTATTAAAATCCTCCAGCAGAATACCATAGTAGTGCATCACCTCCAAAGTGGCGAATCTGATAAGCAAGCAAAAAAACAAAATAAACATTTAAAAGCCAAATATATTTCGTTTCTTTTTGATAACTCACTGTGAGATGTGATTCGCTATTCCAATAGTATGACCGCCTTCCAATTTGCCAGCGCTATCCAAAATCAGCAACAGAATGTGATTGGTCACGACCAGATCCTGCAGATACTGCTTGGAATGGATGCTGGGATTGAAGCGACGCAGCAACAAAACGAACAAGCAACGCAAATCGGTAGTGGAGGCAATCTGCAGCTGGAGATGCCGCAATCGTTCGCGATCATCTTCGCTGAGATGGGTGACCTTGCTGTAGGTCTCGATGGCTTGGAGGAACTCCCGTATGGCTGTTACCACCAGGTGCATGCGACGCAAATAGGGCCTCAGATCGCTGCCCTCTTGTCGCGCATTCAGCTCTAGTTGCTCACAGAGATTGACACCCTCATAGGTCAGATAACTGATAACATTGTAGGTGAGTATGGTATCAATATGTTCCATGTCCAGTTCCAGTTGAGCGGCGAATTTAAGAAAGTATGTGACCAGCCAGAAAAAATGCGATGTATCAATGGGCACCTATTTGGAATGGAAATAGACCTCTTAACAAACGGGTTCTTAAGTCATAAGTTCTATAAATGTACACCTACCGCATTACATAATAGCTGAGAGTGCAGCTCCTCCACCAAAAAGTTGTATCCTTTGAGCAAAAAATCGACGGTGAATTCCTTGAGTAAATTCGAAATGTCATCATCAGTGGGCGTGTGCTGTACCAGACCCTTCATGTTAATGCTATTGTTAGGATAAGGGACTTATGTAAATTATTCATTCTTAGGAAAAAAAAAGTAATCAGTTATTTAAAAGGATCTAAAGATGGAAATCCCTACAAAGCTTAGGCAGTTAACGATTCAATATGCTGCACTCAGCTACCCTTAAATGAATTTTGCACAGATACTGAGGGAATTATTATTTGGTTTTGAAGCTTAAGGATATATCATTGACTCTATAAGGTATATATATATTGTAACGGGCCACTAGTGTAGTATTCAGAGCTGTATCTAAAATTTAGAATGGTCTACAAGGGTATTTCATCTTCGGAGTGCCATTCCTGCTTGTTTACATTTTGTTTGATTGACTTTAATTAAACTTAACCGACCCCAATGTGAGTATTGCACAATCCTCCAACCAGATAAGATATTTATATTTAGAATACTTACAGGCTGCTCTTGCTGCGCTTCACCAGCTTCTTGCGACGCAGTTCCTTCTTGTCCATGGGTGCGTCCATCAAGTTGCGTGTTTTGTTACGTGGCTTCATATTGCAGGGCGGTTTCTGATGCGCCGGCTTTCCCTGTGGTCCATCATCATCATTGCTCGATGTAGATATGGACTCCTGATTCTCCACCTGAGTAGCATATCCACAATCGGAAAGCTCGGACTGTGAGGAGGGACATTCTCGCTTCTGCGGAGAGCATTTGCCCTTGGTCAGATGCAGTTGACCGCCATGCGGTGACTTCTGGCCCAATTTGACGGCGGAAATGTTTGGATGGGAAGTGTAGCTGTCGGACAGCATATCCTCCAAAACGGTGCGACGTAAGTGCAGCGGTGCAGGTGGCTTGAAGGGCTCGTAGCACTGACTGACACCAGTTGTGCTTGGCGACGATGCGCTTGGGTTATCTAAGACTATTGGGGTTGCGTATGGTTGCGCGGTAGTGCTGTTGACATTGTCAGCTGGTTGTGTAAAATCCAATGGTTCCGAGTTGCGAGCAGTCTGTTTCTGCTCGTAATTTCGAACGCGCTCCTCGTAGCTGTTGTCGTTCATATCCTCCTCCTCCTCTTCCTTTTTGATGAGCTGTTGCTGTACCGACAAATTGGTCATATCGCTGGCCGATTCGGTGTTGGCCTTCTTTTCTTTTTTGGCCGACACCCTATTCATGGCATTCTGATACTCATGTCCCTTGCGGCTGACCTCGTGCAGTGTGGCCTCGGTGCCATCGCGCAGCGCTTGACGTCGCTCCTCGCAGCCCTCCTTCTTGCCGCTCATGCCATTGTCCGAGGAGTCCGAAGTAGGATCGGAGGTCAGCATGGGACTGGAGTCTCCGCTACCCTGTTTCGGTGGCGATGTATTGCTCTCATTGTCCTCGGAACTTTCTGACAAGGAGGCCTCGAACCACAAATTTAATAGCTTCTGCAGTGTGCTTACATGCTGATCCTTATAAATCAACGCGATCAGCTGGACCATGGTCACGCCCCAGTTCGAACGCTGCGGACAGGTCATCAGATAGAGCATCAGCTTGTCAATGCTCTGTATGAAGAGGTTCCACAATATGGTGTTCTGCATGGAAACTTGGTGGCCACTGTTCGACTGCAGCATCGTTTCCGGTATATGCAAAATGTTGCGCAACAGCAACAGACAATTGTTGATTCGATCGCATTTCTGTGGCGATAGTTTTGATTCCGATTCGAGTATATGCTTTATATACTCAACGACGCTCTTGGTGACCTTCGGATCGGTGAAGGCCTCTTTGCAGTTGTAGAGCAACTTATTCAGCTCGAAAATGGTATGACGCCCCACCTCGGTACGGTACATTACATCCACGGAGAAGAGGCACTCCACTGGCACGGTGAGATTCACCAGGATGCGTATGACCGACTCCAGCACCGCATCATCCTTGGCATTCTCCAGCAATGGTATCAAATCCGATCGCACATTCTGGCCAAAGCCGATGGCGCGCCGAAAGGTGCGCAATGTCTGATCTTCATAGGTTAATTTATAGTTGATCTCCTCCAATATAGCTACAAGTGTAGAATAGGAACATTTTTAATATTGCTAGTGATATTTATGTTCTCTCCCCACTTACCAAACGCATTGGGACTGACAACATAGGTGTCGCCCTCGAAGGATCCCAGCGAGGAGAAGACGCTGTGCAACTGGGGCGTTACAAGTAAATAATCCATAACAGGTTATTTCTTATGCATGTAGTTCTTGTCTAGTATGTTGAAGTTAAACTCGTTGTAAAGTTTGTAATTCTTCAGCAACAAATTGTGGCACATTGTCAGATCATAAAGCGACGATGTATTGAAAATAGTAAATTAACAAGTTTGCTTCTGGTTCTACAAAGATCAAAGCGAATTTCAGAATAATTATTACTAAAAGTTATTTGAGTGAATAGAAACCATATTTATTTTGACTTATTATTTACTTAAGTATTTAGCAGATTCTAAAGCCCTGTATTATTTAAAATAAGCAAAAGGGTGCAATAAAGTTGTGCAATAGTAAGTAAACAGTCAGATGGAATCATGAATGGATTTAGCCACCATGTATATGATAAAGCTGATCTCATAGACTATAAGAGCTTTAGATTAAGTTTATTTAATTTATCGATAACCGTCTACGTTTCGGGAATATCGATTCAAATTCGATATAAATATAAGAAACAATTGTACAGATATAGTCTTTCATAATACCATAGGGTCTGACCTATTATTAATCAACTGTAAAAATTTCATTAAGATCGGAAAATAAACATCGATTTTGGTAATCATATTTTCATAATGATAAATTAAAACACTTTGCATTTAAGGGCTGATTATCTTCTAGTCGAGCTGTCTTGACTTGAGCATTATAGTTTATTCAGTAAGCAAAATGTATATTTTCGTATTTGTATTTATATTTTAATGTAATAGCCATTTAAGGGCCATTGAATCATTTACGATGCACGTTATACAACAAACAATTTTCAGTTTAAGTTTTTGCCTGTGACAAAAAAGCTGGCCATAAATAGAAATCCGAGCTGCCCACAGTGAGCTGCATGTGACCAATACCATTAAGCGCTGAGTCTCTCAGTTGTGATTGCACCCCACCTCTCCCTCTGACTGCCCGCTGGCATTGTGCATTCGCTGCATGCAGGATAACACAAAAACATGCACCATGGCAACACGTGCCGAGGCGAGGTGTATTGCCTCAATGAAAACTGAACCATTTACAGCTTTTTAGGGGGGTTGTGGGGCAATCAACTACAATGTTCGACCAAGCGTAATAATAAAAAGAAAAACAAAAAATGGTGAGCAACAGCTTTTCTGCTATGGTTAAGCAACAACAAAGTGAGCTCAACCAGAATTTGAAGCATAAGCATTGACAGATATTCAGAGGCATCCGCAGTCAGCATGTGACTTACACACACACACACACACATACAGTAGCAAAATAACCTACAACAACAATCACTTCAGCTTTGATTGTGTAAACGCCTCAGCTGGATATGTTTTGCCTCCCCTTCGTGTTATGTGCTCTTGTTTTGTCACTGAGAGAAATGGCTCAGTTTTTATGGTCACGGCCCTTTTTAGAATTTCAACGAAGCTTTACAAATGCCAGCAATTGTTAATTGTTTTCATTGAATGCATTGTGGTGCATACTTTTGGGTGCACTTCTAAATGGAAAGCGCTAAAAATACAAGTGGCACCAATTATTTTTAGATCATGTTGACGGTCTTTTAGAACACGTGAATAGACAATTGATTTACAGCCATACGTACATACAAGAGGGTAATCAATAAGGGCAAGGTTGTACAATTTTTACACATTTTTAAAAGAAGAGCAAAAACTGAATACAACATTTAATCTACATTTTATTTGAGATAATACAAAAAAATTAAGATAAATAATATAACAAGAATGAACGCCGAAACTTAAATATCCTTGTAGATTAAAGTTAATTTGCTGAAGTCTACATTTAGGTACAAAGTTCTTAATATTATAATATTTTTGTATGTTTTCAATAAATTATATTTAAATGCTTCCGTTTCATGACTGGACGAAGTGTCTATGGATATCGTGCCACAACTTTTATATTGATTGATTCTATTAGAGCTATATGATATATGAAATGTCAAGAACATAATACTGGGTAAGAAAAATCATTTGAGAATACATCTTTCGACCGATGAAAGCTTTCATGACAAAATTATAACGCCTTAACCGATTTTTTTGGTATTTTGATATAAATATTAATTAGTTTATGTTAATAATTTATCGCAATGAAATGGAATGAATAATTTTGTAAAATTTCATTCACATATCTATAGTAAATATATATTGGTATGTCTCTGTCACAACCCCATTTCCCATTTCCGCTGGCAGTTATGAAACCAACTACACTTACAAAGAGAGCTTACATAAAATCTACTTTGCAAACTATACAATGAAAATAACAAATGATATGCGTATTGTGTTTGTATTGGTCGACCTAATCAAAATGCATTGTCATTCTTTCGCAAATATAAAGGAAATTTCATTCAAAAGTGCTGGTGAATATTTTATCTGTGGAACACGGGGCCAAATAGTTTTTTTTATAGTCATAAAAAATACTCACTCGTCTATGAAAAATACAATAATCACCATCGACTCGCTAAATTTGTAATGCAAAGTGGAACAAAGTAAAAGTAAACATACTTCCTACCTGTGAAGACAAGGTGGCGCATCCAGCAATCGCTTTCTAGGGGGGGCTGTGAAAAACAGACCTACAAATCCCACTGAAATTACTGTTATCGACGATTAAATACCTTTGCAGACGATATCAACTGATAGCTCATATGAATGGATTTCACGATAGTAATCTGATATATACTCAAATCTGATAAACAGTATCTACGTCATATGCTATCATATTGCAATTTCGTTCAATGAAATTAAAGTAGAATTCTACGATGCGTTACACAATGGGCGATACAATTATTATACTATTTGACATAAACTCGGCACGAGTAAGTATTATATTTCAAATTGGGTCAATAGAAAAATACTTATGAGCCACCCTCGCTCAACTGATGTTTGAAGAGATATAAGAACACAACATGCAATTACGCAAGATGACAAAATCTTAAGGATTTTTATTAAATTACATAAAACAACATTTAAGAACAAAAATCTTGCACTGAGTGAATAAAATAAATATACAATTATGTATTTAATTTTAAAAATGTTGTACTGATTTTAAAGATGTTAAACCTTAATGCCACTATCAACATGCGTTATTTACTTATGTATTGGTTCAATGACTTCAAATCGACAACCTCTTTTTTCGCTGAGCTGTCGAGAATTCATTTAAGCGAGTATATCAATTTCTAGAGTGCGCTCGAGTGTATGTTATATAATGATTAACATATTTCCGCACAAGCATTCGAAAATTTGGTTGCCCTGTTGGTTGTGCAACAAAAGACGAAAAACAACATCGTCGCAACGCCTCGTCTGAACACAATACTTTGTCAGCAGATACGTAGTTTTGAAGTTGGCGCGTTGAGCGTGAAAAGCTTCTTAGCTGACTTGTTGCGTTGTGGACTACATTGTTGCTAACTGTGCTAGGTCGTGGGCCAGTGATGCTTCCAACATGAGACTTGATTCACACTTGGCTGATTGCTTACCCAATTACTTTTAAGTCGAATACAACAGCTAGTTATTCCACAGTGGCAGAATTGTTTTATTTCATGCGCAGTAATTTGGTAATTGCTCTAAGCGTTTTAAGTATTTTGTTTTGAGAGACACTTCTAAGTAAACACTTGTTATTTCATTTTAATTGCTATGAAGACACAATGTTGTATAATTGAATTTTGATAAGATTTGTACATTATTTAAATTCATTTATTTTTTTTTTTTCTTTCTTACACATTCACAGGCATTGTATTTTAATTAGATCATGCATGTCGTTTAGCATGATTCGTGTATTCTACGTATTTCAACTTACGTAAAATGCAAAAACAATAGCTACAAAACATATTTGCACATTTATAAATTGCCGTGTAAACGAAGGGAAGTAGAAAAACAACATAGTATTATTCACTAGCACCAATACACACAGAGCTACACACATACACATTTACAAGCCAATACGTTAGCCAAGCAACCTCAACTGTATTTTGTTGCCAAATATATTGCGCACAATTACGTATTGGCCCAGAGCAATTTTGCAGCCTTCAACTTAAAGGGCTTATTATCAATCAAGTATTTCACATACCACAATGTGTTATTCAGCTGTGAATGGTACTTTGACGATTCAATGATAATAATAATATATAATAATTGTAGAGGACGCGACACGAACCGTTTGCTTCAAGCGCACAAAGTTGAATGCTCAATATATTTGATTCTGGGCTCCAGCAGAGGTCGAGAATGCAACGAACAAGCTCCCACTCACAAACACTGACGCGTGCCCGATTCCCATTCACATTGCATTCACATGAGACGCAAAAGCTTCCATCCACAAGTTGTCGGCAATGCCGGCCCCTTCGACACTCTTTCTGTATATGTGTGCCAAAGCTCTTGTTGTCTAACTTGTTGCCTCTCGCTCTGGCTTGCGACCGGCTTCAGTGATTAAATTTCTCACGTGTATGCGCAACGTGCGGCACGTTTGTTTGCCTCTTGCTTGTTGTTTTCGTTTCTGTTCGTCTGGACATGTGTGAGTGCACAGCAAGCACAACAGTCACATCGGCATACCGTTAAGCGCTTGCTGTCTACACTTTGTTGCTATTGTAGACAACTCGCTGCTCAGATGAACGCTCTATTGATTCTCGATGTGGTGGTTTTGCTAGATAAGCTGTTGCTGACGGTGGTGGTGGTGGTGGTGGTGGAGCCACTCACACAGTAATATTGCTGTGACTTTTGTTGCCTAACAGTTTTTGTCTGTTGTTGCTTTTACACAACATCCACACAACAATTGCTCGATTAACGCGGCGTATGCGCAATGCATACACAAATTCAAAATGCGAAGGAACAAATAACTCGTAGAGCAACACTTCGGCTACCGGTCAGCGGCGCGAGCCACGACCACGTCAGCTCCTCACGACGGCGACTACACTTATGACGAACCCCCCGAAAATTGGCCACATAATCCGCAGACAATCAAACCGACGAAAGTCCGACGATCGGCGTAGCGATCATTTTTCTGAATATACACTTACGACAGCACTTTAAAAACATACTTGCAATGCGAACTTCACACTCAGAACATTACATAATCAAAATGAGTGTGCGAAATTGTGTGTGTTTGTGTTTAATTATGATGATTATCAGGTTCAGGGCGAGAGTGCGGGGTATTAGATTAAACACCTTTATAAATCATTCACATAACAAGTGTTTACATGTAAAATGTAGAGTTTGTCATAACTAATATTAATCAAGCTCATTTTTAACATATTAATACAGCAAAGATTAACATTAACATTAAGAGTTATATTCATAAATTCAAATGCAGTATTAATACACAGACCAAATCCTGGTAAAAAATACAAATATCTAAATCGATTTCTTCGTTTGACAAGGTTGCCTTTATTTGCTCTCTTTACTCCTTTTTTTGTAATCTGACTGGAAAATCAATTTATTAATATAATAATTTGTAGCAGTAACAGATAGAAATAGTAGCAAAGAAAGCTTACGTTGCCATATTATTTGCATGTAAAAATATAAAATAAACAAAAGCCGAGACAGTTACCTAAATGAAATTGGTACAGCACGCTGCAAGATTACGTCAAAGTGTATAAGGTGCGACATCTCAGGTATTACAAAAGCATCCAGTTAATCCCATCAGTGATGAAAAGCTTCAGGCAGTTTGCCCCGCTGAATCCATAAGATTAACTGAGTATAAACGGAGATTGCAAAACACCACTTTGGAATATAATCAGTATTATTATTACAAAAAGGTAGCCAAATTGTAAAGGGCACACAGCTTTCGCTCACCCCTTGCACACCCCTGGCAAACTGCTGTCAGTGCAACGCGACCCGCCACTCATCCGCATGTCAGATTGTGAGCAGTGCGAGAAAGTCGCATGTTTGCGTGCTGGCTGTTCGTGTAACGTGCAACTGCCGTGTGGCATTTAGTGGCTATTTTACGAACGTGTTCAAAAATCGTTGATCATTTATCGCCTACTTTTGACGCCGCAAAAAGTGAAGCTTAACACTTCAAATGTTAAAGTATAGTCTGATACAGAAGGCTACACACAACATTTTAAAACTAGGCTCATTAATTTCAGGTGGTTGATTGCTTGTGGAGTGCATCAATTTCAAAATAAGACAAATGTATCAAAACGAATTAATTACAACATTTTTCATAGGTATCAGAGTGCAAAACAGTTCAATATGCCCGACTGCAATGTTCTCACCTGATTAAAATGTATATGTAAAATACCTAATGTCTAGTTGATTATAGGTATAAATGTAGAAAATACATTCTGAGGAACCGAACATTTTTTTTGCCTGCTAGCAAGGTGAAATCGCACTATATTGACTCCTAAATTTGATCAAACAAAAAATTGGAAATGGCTGTGCATTTTTACTTATGAGAAATATATTTCTTAGAAATAAATAGAATTTAAAAAAGAATATTTAAATAATAACTTTTAGGTATCTACTATTTCCCAAGGTCAAACGTTTCTGCTTTTGATAAATTTGATTCGTAAACTTGAAAAATGTAAAAAAAAAAGGAAAACTAAAAGAAATTATGGATTCCAGGACAATTTTAAATCTAATGCAGTTATTATATGCTAGTTCAAACATATATTTTTCTGAATGTTGCTAAATGCCGCTGTGCTCCTTGATCCAATCACGTGCATAGCCAACTCTGGCATAGACGCCCGGATAGTCTGGCTTGGCGCAGCCATAACCCCATGAGACCACGCCCACCAGCACGCCCGCCTCATTCACCATGGGACCGCCAGAGTCACCCTGGCAGGCATCCTTGCCGCCCTCCATGTAACCAGCACAAATCATGCGCTCCGTAATGCCGCCATATTGTTTGTATTTGTCGTTGCAGACCTGCTGATTGACCAGCGGCACCTGCACCTGACGCAGCCATTCACGTGGCTCTAGCAGATTCTGAGTGTTGCCCCAACCGGTGACAAAGCACGGATCACCGTCCATAAACATTTGCTCCGCCTCTGGCAGCTTGATGGCCTTCTTCGACTCATCGAATTTGATGGGATGCTGCAGCTGCAGCAGCGAGAAATCGAAATCCACATTCGTATAGTTGAACTTCTCGTGCTGCACAATCTTCTGCACGCGCAGAAGTTCTCCATGCCGCGCGGCTTCCGAGCTGCCCAGACGCACCTTTAACTGGTTCGCTGTTTTACCTCTGAATAGTGGAAATGTTCGCGATCAATTGAGAGCGCTAACAATGAGAAGCCGCTTAGCTACTTACTCGGTGCAATGGGCCGCTGTTAAAATCCATTGCTCAGAGATCAGTGATCCGCCGCAAATGTGAGCTGATGTTTGCAACGAGATTTGATGTGGTGCATTCGTTATGTTTATACGTTGGCCACCCACAATGCGGCCATCGAGACGCGGCTGCGTCTTCCACAGCTCGTCGAGCAGCGAACGTTGGCGCTTCACAGGCTCTGGTATCAAACAGACGCCGCCCAGGACAATGGCGCTGCTCTGCAGCAGTAGAACTAACACCAGTTTCAATGACAACATTGTGAGTTGGCTTTTCATCGGGGACCTGGGCTTTTATAGGCACGGCCAAGACCATGAATGGGCGGCTCCCACTACCGATAGTCACCCACTGAGCAAACAAACCCGCTGAGACGCTATCTTTTCAGCCAACAATTGACACAATAAACTAATAGTAAAATTAAAAATGAACGTTTATTTATTTAAATAGGTCAAGAGTACTTACGCATAATGCATTTTATGTTATGCCAAAGCACACAAGTAGTATATTAAAAGAATTTGTAAATGTTTGTTATGATAGTTGACAGGTAGCAACAAGAAATAGCAACCTGTAAATAAAAAGATGTTCTTCATCGTTTGCATCCACTTTCAGGTTTGGTTTCTGTGTATTTCTGTTATTTTAATAGCTCCCAATTGTTTTACAACGTTGTTGTACAAAGTTCCAAGTTCAGAGTTAATGAATAAATTAATTTGAGCTAAGATGTCGTACTCTATTCTACCACATAGATCAGATTGCGCCCCAGTTCGGTCAGTTTGCCCGCCTGATTGACGCTCACTCGCTTCGCCGCCACATCGATAACAAAATTGCCTTCGGTGAGCTGAGCTTTGCCAGTCTTGTAGTCCTGGAACGTGGGCACCTTGCGTGGACCCAACAGAGGATCCTCATAGCGCCAGATTTGCAGCGTAGACACGTCTGATTTCAGGTTTAAAATCTTGGCCAGCTTTTCGCGCAGCGACTCAACAGTGTCACCCTCGGATATGATGGTGTTCACCTGGAAAAGTGAAGAGCGCTCTGTGGGATTGACCAGCTCGACGCTGACATGCGGCGCAACGCTGAAGCAGATAAAGGGCGAGCCAGGACGCACCTCTTCGCGTGTCTTTTCGGGCGCCGAGGGATCGTCAGTATATTTGATTTCCAGATTGTCCAGCTGGGCAGGAAGAATTGATGGTTATTATTAAAGTTGTGTAATTGGTTAACCTCACAAAATCTACTCACATCCAATGTGTTCTTCAGATATTCCAGATTGTTCATCAGCACCTGACCCTCATCGAACTCCAGCGTGACAGCCAGTGCGGCGACTCCCTTGCCGCCCGTCTCCACCTTCTCGCGTATCATTTGTGCAAATGGCATCACACGCTTCATGAACTTCTTCAGCTCGGCCTTCTGCTGCAGCGTTGCTGCGATGATTTTGTTATCGGGCAGTGATTTACTATCCTTGTTGTACAGCGCACGCATTGTGTCTAGAACGCAACACTGCCAGGGCGGATATGTTTTGGCCACCCAAACCAGACCACGATTGGGTTTGGCAGTCTGTGCCAAGTCCACAGCTTTCTCTTTGCCACCCTTGCCTTTAACTTGCAGCATATTCTTAAGGTTGAGGCGGAAGGAGTGAGCCGATTCCATCAAATAGTCGGAGCACATAATATCCTGCTCATTGATGGCCCCGACCTCGGGCCAATGGACGTGCACAATGGACTGCTTGTTGCCCAGCAATCCCCAGACGTGTTCCGCTGTGTGCGGACAAATTGGTGCCACTAGCAGCGCCTGGCGACGTATGAACTCCATGACTAGATCCACATGCATGCCCTTAGCGCCACAGAGTTCACGGTACTTGTCGCGCGCCAGCTGCAGCTCATAGAATCCACTGCGCAGCGCCTCCTTGAACAGCATGCGACGATAGTTCTCATCCGTCTGCTGTGTCTTCAGATTCAGTTCACTGAGGAAGACTTGATCATTGAAGGTTTTGGTCGCATCGCTGCGCAAGCTGTTGCGTGTGGCCAGCATCTCCTTGACCCACTCAATGAACGTATACAACCGGAGAATGCCCGCATCCGCTGTGCTCTCCACGAAATTGGCATCCTCAATGCTGTCGCCAGCATCAGCCATGGCAAGACGCATTCCATCGGCCGAGAATTTTTCGATAGCCTCGTGTAGCGTTAGGAAATTACCATCCGATTTGGACATCTTCATCGAGTTGAGCATCAACAAGCCATTGACACGCATACCCTTGGGCCACTTCGTATCATCGTTGGGCCAAATGGCAGCGTGATTATACAAGCAGAACGTCAAGTGGTTCTGTATCAAATCCTTGCCCGACACACGCAAGTCCATTGGATACCAGTACTCAAACTCACGTCGCATCACAGCCAAATACTCTGGTTTGATGCTTGACTTCTTGGGCAGCGGTGTCTCCTTAAAGAATATATAGTCCCAGACTTCGGCGGTCATATCAGCGGGTTTGATGCCTGCAAAGAAGGTAACAATTAGTTGTTTTTATGAATGGAAATGCAGTAAATATACAGATTTATGCCGCTTAAAGTTTCGACTATAAACTCTTTATTAATGCCTATATATATTTCGCAATATAAGCTATATTCTAAACTTACCGAATGGCCCGGGCTTCTCGCCGCGGAATGTGCCGCCTTGGAGCAAATGGCTGACAGTGTAGAAAGCCATATATATGGTTGAGTCCGACAGGGATTCGATGAGCCACTGCTCGTCCCAGGGCAGCTTAGTGCCCAGGCCGTAGGTGCGTGAGCAGGCGTACTCGTGCAACCAATTCAGGCAGGCATCAAAATTGTTGCGCGCCTCATCATGAAACGTTTCCATGTCCTGCAGTATTTTACTGGCCTGTGCCTGCCATTCGGGTTCGCCGTAGTTGAGATACCATTGGTTGCACAGCGCAACCACGCACTCATCCGCTGAGCGTGACATAATCGTTTTCTCGGGTTCATAGTAAATATCCGCATCCTTGGCATCGATAAGACGATTTTGCAAATTCTTCTTGATGTCCTGGATTTTGCGTCCTGAAAACTCGCCCACCAGCATGACTCCATCATAGAAGCCTGTTGAATATGAATTTAAAATTTTGTATTTATTTACTAAATACACCTTATTGACCACACATACTTTTCAGGTAGCACATATCCTTGGCTTCTGCCAGTTTGTCCTTGTCGTTTTGCGACTGAATCTTTAGCGTGTCGTAGGCATGCACCGCAGATAAATTGCCCAGCGTGGGCACTTCGATGATGGGCATGGGCTCATACGGAAGCACCATCTCATCTTTCAGTCCGTACTTTTGACGGAATGCCTCCTTCTTCTGCAAATCCACGAGGGCGGCATAATCATCGGGCGAATCCGATGGCACTGAAGTCACCACCCCCGTACCCTTATCCGACTTAATGCTTAGCATGGGCAGTGTATAAATTATTTTGTGTGCGGTCAACGGTGCCGATAACGGCACACCCAACAGCTCTTGGCCCGTTAACTCGGCCAGCACAACAATGTTGCCCTCCTCCGCAGTGAATCCCTGATAGGCCATGTTGCGAGCAGCACGACGCGTGCTTATCCATACCTCGTTATCCCGTGTAGTCTGCCAAGCGATGTACTTAATGTCCGGATGCAGCCAGCAATTGGTTTGGCCATACATCGTCTCCGGACGCAAAGTTGCAGCCACCATATAAATAGGCGTTTTGATGGAACTACAAATAGGAAAAAATATTTAATAATTATTATAAAAAGGGGAAACAGAACGCACCTCAGAGCCTTAGGTGACTGCAGCACTTTCATCTTGATGAGCGTGTACTCCTGGGGACCCACGCCTTCACCAGTGGAGCGATCGTGATCCATGCAGGGCTGTCCATCCTTGGGTGAATAGATAGTATACCGCTTGCCATACATTATCTTGCCGCGATGCTTCAAATGATTGAACTGCCAGCGGACAAACGAGTCAAAATAGGGATTGGCATCTGTGGTTATGAATGTTCGACGCCAGTCGACGTGGACACCGACGCGCTTCAGATCGTCACGCGCCAGCGGTGGGAAGTAGTCAAGCCAATGCTCGGCATTAGCAAACTGCTTGATGTCCTCATCCTGCAGGCCCAGGCTCTGCATGATCTGCCATTGGTATTTGGCAGTGCCAGCTTTGGCCACGGCCTTGCTCTTCTTGCCCTTCGCCTTGTCCTTGGGCACCTCGGACTGCGACTCGGTCTCTGCGGGCGCCTCTTCCTGCTGCGCCGGAAACTTGGGGGGACAGCCAAACATTTCCATCTCACGGGCAAGCTTATCGGCGCACGCCTTAATCGGCATCCCCGTGCAATGGAAACCGAAGGGCCACAGCACACGACGTCCCTTGAGGCGGTGGTAGCGCACCGCAAACTCCGCCTTGGTTAAGGAGAATGTGTGGCCCAAGTGCAGCCGCCCATTCATATACGGAAACGGAAATGTGACAAAGAACTTTTCAGCCTGTCGCTTTTTGGGCGCTGTCGGCGCATCCGTTTCGTGCACACGCTCCACCTCCCAGCGCTGTTGCACCTCCTGTTCGATTTTCTGCAGATATTCCACCTTGAAGGTGCCTTTGCGCTCCACATTTGCCTAAGTTTATTCAAATTATAGAAAATGAATTAATGTCTTCAATCTGGGCAAACATTGCATCAGTAATTTGCGTGGAAATTGTTTTCAATATCGAAAGCCCAACAAGCAAATTTACTTTGTCGGCAGTGATATTAAACGCTTTCACATACCATTTTGAACTGTTTGCGTGTGCAATCCACAAATTCGCTAAATTTTTAAATGAAAAATACGGATTGGTCAACAAATTGCAAATTGCAACGTGTTTAACTCGCAGCGGCGGCTAAAAGGTTACTATCGTTCGGCATTATCGAAATTTACGTGACTTGTTATCGATTTTTGGAATTGCGAGAGAAATTAACTCGAGCTAAACGGTTTGTCAACTGTTGGGCAACAGTGCTGCGCATTCGAATTCAACTTGTATTGATTATCGAGAACTGATTGTATGCCATGTATCGATATTTTCAGTCCACTTAACCTATTTTTTTTATTAGGTGAAAAATTTTTAGGTTTAGGTTAATATTAGCTGAATACGTTATAATTTGGGTGTTATTATATTAGAAAATGCGGCCAGTGTTTGCATTCTTGTTATTGGCCCTCCTGTGCGCCTGTCAACTCAACACTGCAAATAATGTGAACGCCGAAACTGAAGACGACTTCGACAATGATTTTGCCGAGTTCGATGATGACTTTGTGGAAGCCAGCTACGATACCGAAACGGCAGAGAATGCCGATTCATCCCGGCGTGCTGGGGCTGACAGCGCAGACTGGGAAACCCTAGAGGTGCCCAAGAAGCGTACCGTGGACATTGACGAAGAGGAGGACGGTATCGTCGAGAATGACGACGAATTCGAGCACTTTCAGGACGAGGAGGAATTCGAAGGCTACGACGCTGGCGACTCAATGGAGCCGCCCATCGATCAGAAGTCAGAGCCCAAACTGAAGATCCCCAATATACCATTACATTTACGCACCCACTGGGATTCGTACTGGATGGAAATGTTAATGGTGGCCGGTCTTATGGCATACTTTGCCAACTTCTTTGCGGGCAAGGCGAAAAATGCGCGTCTGGCTCAGCTTTGGTTCAGCACTCATAAGGCGCTGCTGGACGAGAACTTTGCGCTGGTCGGCGACGATGGCAAAGTGGAGAACGAGAATCCAGGTCTGATCAAGGAGAGCGAGAGTCTGTACACACTCTGGTGCTCCGGTCGCACCTGCTGCGAGGGCATGCTTGTGGAGCTGAAGATGATCAAACGACAGGATTTGGTATCGCTCGTTGCTGGCCTGATGCGACCACAGTTGGATCAGGTGCATATCAAAATAGATTTGACACGCGGACTAATGGATTCATTTGTGTTTGCCGTCGGTAGTAAAAAGACAATAACCAAGGTGTTCAAGGAGTACACAGATTTGGTAAGTGATTCACTTTTGAATATGACCCGTACTTAGTCTAGCCTTTTGCTCTCTTTGCAGACCAAGTTTTGTAGTTTAGTTGCCAAGCCAGAGGATCGCTATAATGTGCCCAGTGGTTTTGGCGTGCTTTCGGAAATACCGGAGGCCACATCCGCCATACTCGAGTCACGTGTTATTACCGCACTTAATAAATACCAAAGCTATATCGATTACCTTCACATCTCGGATCAGTTCAGCGGCCCAGTGCCTCAGGAGGAGAACAGCACACTGAAGCAGCCGGAGACAAGGCCCGTTCTGTTAGCCGGCTTCAATCTGCCGAAGCACGCCGAAATGGAGACCATTAAACCCTTGTTATTGTTGATCTTTTATCTAATGGAACGCTTGAAGACCTACCGCATGTCCAAGGAGGTAAATCCACACACACTCTTCCCATCTTTCTTCCAATCTTAATATATTGTAATACCTTGTTCGCTTGCAGGCCAAGGCCAAGGCGGATAAGAATCGCTTGCGCGTCGAGGAGGAGTTCCTCAAGAGCACTCATGCAGCACGCGCCGAGGCAGCTGCTCAGCGTCGTGAGGACAAGCGCAAACAGGAGAAGGAGCGCGTGCTCGCCGAGGAGGATCCAGAGAAGCAGCGACGTTGGGAAGCCAAGGAGCAGAAGCGCCAGGCCAAAAAGAATGCACCCAAAATGAAGCGTCTGGCAGTAAAATCTTTGTAAACTTTGTTGCACCCTGTTGTGCCATCTATTTGCGGTCGCTCATCCGTAGAACTGTTTGCGGTTATTCCTTAAATATGCCACATTAAAGCAATAAAATATTTGTTTCCTATTGAGCGCCAAAAAATACCACTTTGAAATAATTTCACTCAGGACCACTGCTTAAAAACAGAAAAACAAAATTATATAGCATATGGGTCTCAAGTCGTCAAGTCGTATAAAATAAACCAGTTTGGTGTTTTTAGAGTTCAAAGAAATTAGCATCACGCCTAACTTATGCATAATTAAAACTTTCTCCAAGCGAATTTCAAAGTTTTCGACTGTGTGCTCAAATAACGCCAGGTCATCTTTAATTATTAATGAAAGATAATGTAAACGGGTTTTAAATAATTAATCAAGGTTTCTATTGGATCGAAATAGGTATTATTATTATTATTGATTTAAGTAGCAATCGAAAATTGGACATCAACACATTTTATAGAGACAGAGACAAAATCGGGGTTTCTTTTGGTACTTGACAGCGGGCTGGGATTTGGGTTTGAGAAAATGGGAAATCGCCTAACACTTGACGGGGAAACAATTCTCATTGGACACGTAGGCAATGTGATTGCGGAGCGTTTTGATTTGCTTCTGGGCGGCATCGAAGCTGTAGGAGAGTGTATTGAGCTGGCCCTGCATCTCGCGGATGACGGCCTCGCGATCGTTGACGGAGAGCGATGCGGTGGCTCGGCATTGGGCCAGCTCCTTTTCGAGGCGATTGATTTGTTCCTGCTGCTGGGCTTTGATCATCTCGGCGCGCTCCTTGGTGCCAGCAATTATCTTGGCGGATTCGGTGCGCAACGTGTCCAGATCGTCCTGTGTGGTCTTCAGTTGCTCGCAGAAGAGGTCTCGCTGGCGGAGCAGCTCCTCAATCTCGTTGCGCGCTTGGGTCAGATCCAGCTGGCACTGGCCAAGCTGTGGACTTAAATCTGGTGTGGGATTCTCAAGATGTACCTTGCAGGACTTTAGCTCTTTGCAGACAACGATCAGTTTACTCTGCAGATCATCCTTCTCCTTGCACACCTGTGCCAATTTCAGTTGCTCGTTCTCCAGCAGCTTGGGAAAATGGAGCAGCTCGTTCAGCTTCTCCTGGAACTTGGAGCGTATCTCCTTCACCTCTGTATTAATTTGCTGCTCGATGCGCTTATTGTTCATGCTGAGCTTATCCAGCGAGACGCACTGCTCCTCGACCTTCTGCTGAGCCAGCATATACTTGTTGCGGTAGTCCTCCAGCTGCTGTGACTGCTCCTTCATGATGCACTTGAACTCCAGCTGCTCCTCCTTCAGCTCGTTGACACGTGCTCGCAGCAGATTCAATTCAGCTGCATCCGCATCAGAGATTCCCTTGGACGCACCACATCCGCCCATGAAACCCTTCATACTGTAATGGAAGAGAAAATTTACATGAAAGTGCGAATCATTTTGTTTGTGTAAAAACAATTATAATAACAGTGTGAAAGAATATTATTTATACACAAAGTAATTTAATATATTGATTATTTGCTAAATTTTTAAAAATGAGATGCATTTTAAGATATTTTTTATATTAAAATAATACTTTTTAAATATATAAAACTAAATTTGAAAAGAAATCAAATAAACATTTATGTATTTTAAGAGAACATTTAAAGAAGGCAAACTTTAAATGATGTATTTAACCATCTTGGCTGACAACTAAAGGTTTTTGAAATGCTCTGTGTATTATTTTAAATTACATCATGGATTAAATCAACTTGCTTACCGTTTCTCCAACTCCTTCATTTGGCAATCCTTGCGCTGAAATTGGGTGAGCAGACGCCCGTAGTTCCCCTTCATCTTTTCGAACTGATCAGCTTTGGTGTTGCGTTTGCCACCGCAAATGACCAGCGGATCGGGATCCTCGGGACATGGCTTCCGCGGTGGGCAGGGCGGGGAACATGGCTTAGCGTCATCTTCGTCATCATCATCATCATCAAAGGGGCAGGACGGCGGCTCCCTTGATGACTCACGCCTGCTAACCTCAGTGAGCAGCTTCCTCACCGAGCACTGCATGCTGACAATGCGACGCTTCAGCTTCTCCAGCGAATCGCTTTTAGTGCACGGAGGTGGACAGGGTGGTGGGCAGGGAGGTGGACGGATTGATTGGCAGGGTGACACACTACGTTTCTTCGATTGCCGACATGGTGGGGGTGGATACGGTGGGCATGGTCCTTGAACGCTACTGCTGCTTTCCGCGCATGTAGATTGTGGTTTGGCATTACATGGTCCTGGATTGCAAACGTGCTTCGGCTTGGACTTGGAGGCCATGATGGCGCAGGCGATGTTTTGCATCATTTTCAAGTCCTCGGGGCAGGCGCCCTTCATCTTTTGCATGGCCTTGCTGAGCGCCTTAATAAGCCGATCCTCCTGGCCCTCCACTTCGCAGCAACTGGAGGCGACATCGTCGCTGCATTCGGTCACACCACTACCGACCACCGGACCGCCACAGGGACCCACACAATACGGCGATATGTTGTCCTCGTCCATGGTGGTGGTCAGATTGACCTCGCGATAATGGCGATGCGATCCAAAGTTCTGAAGCTTCACCGCCTGGTTCATCATTGTGTGCAGCTTGATATTCTCCTGCTCCATGCAGATGCGCAGACGTTTGATTTCGCGAAGCTCGTTACGTGTCTTACAGGGCTTGCCGCACATGTCCATCACCTGCGTCTTGATGTCCTGTATGATGCGGTTCTGGCAATCGATCTCCTTGATCAGCGCCAGATACTCCATGTACATGCGTTTCTGCTCAGGATTATCGGAGGATTCGCCAAGTCGCGAGAATAGATCATCCTCCATGTCCTCTTCCATGCCACCCTCATCCATTGCGGCCATCGTTGCATCCTCCTCCTCATAGTCTTGCTCCTCAGCATCATTTTCAGCCATGTTGATCGTATAAGTTTATGACTCACAAAATGCTCTGGCGTGGTAGCTTCTAATGGTTTCGGGATGATTTCCTCTAATTAACTTATCTCGAATTTAAAAAAAAAATAAATAAAATTTTGTCAAGTTATTCTGGAATTGGTTACTATAAAATTTTTTTGTTGTGTTGTTTTAAACAACTAAAATGAACTGATCCGTTTTTAAAGGCTTTTCTGACTTCGAAATATATTTTCGACATAGCCTACTCCACTCGTAACCAAGTTGAAAATTAGTTTCAAATCAACTGGGCATTTTTAATCAAAATGAATTTAAACAATTAGTAAATGAAATAGTGTAAATAATATTTCACTTTATTTAACAACTGGAGTATTTCTTTCCCTGCGATCTATGCTTTGATTCGACTCTGAAAAAGCTATTGAGCCCAATAAAATAAATAAATACGAATCGTTATATTCAAAAAACTAAAACACTCAATTATTCTTAAGATTTCGCTGCATTGCCATTTTCTCACTAGAAAAATATAACTAATTTTTGATAATGAATGCCCTCTAACAACAGTGGCACTAAAATCCTTAGGTTTAGTAGGCCCTTACTGTAAATTCCTCATTAATATTTTCGAATTGTTCAAGCCGAACCAATTATTAATTTCGGTAAACGACTGTGAGACTTTCCATTTAAAATTATCTGTTGTTAAAAAAGAACCGTAGGAAAATTCTTGTAAATGTTAAGCGGCCAAAAGTGTGCAAAGTCAATGTTGATTCATTCGCAGGAGGAAAATGTAAGCGGTAGGAAACTAATGCCTCTGGCCAAGAAGAGCTACAGCAGCCAGCATCAGCTGGCATCCTTGCCCGGCGAGGACATCAACACCAAATGTGCCAAAGCGGATGATGATCTGGGACTCGGCAACATCGATCAGTTTGGCTTGGAGGACGATGAGCAGCCAAAGAGACGACACAACTCGCAGGGCGATGAGATTGGCGCCAAGCTGAAGCATGAGCTGTCCAAGTACAAGCAGGAGCTCGAGGAGTACAATGAGACGACAAGGGATCTGGAGAAGAAGTACATGAAGATCAATGACGAACTAAGCGAAATGCAGCAGAAACACGATCAGTTTGCTGACCGTCGCAGCGAAATGGATGTGGATGAGAGCGGAACACTCCAAGGTTATTCACCCTCATCCACAACCAGCATCGGTTCAGAGGTGACGGTCAAGCGCAAGACATCCAATTTATTTCACAGCAACACCAGCTTCCTGGAGGCAGCCAGTTCATGTGAGGAGTTGCTTAAGCACAGCGAGTTGAGACCGGTCAAGATTCTGCACAATTTGTCGGCACAGATAGACAGTGTGTATTCCAGACGGCATGTTGGGGATACACCAACCAATCGGCTAACGCGACGCGGTAAGCGTGTGGAGGATCAGGAGAATGATCCAACAACACTCAAGCAGATGTATCATGTGCTCAAGGACGTGATCAATACGCAGCAGGATAACAGACGGAAAAACGCATACGATCGAGAGAACGGTGACTTCAATCAGCTCTATACGACCATTAAGGATCTGAAGAGCGAGCAATTGGAGTTCCGTAACATAATACGGCATCAGCAGGATCGCATCTCCGATTATCACACACGCTGTGTGAAGGCGCACGATATAATGAAGACGCAGAAGCACGAGATCGATAAGCTGCAGGTGAACAACAATCAGCTGGAGTCGAGCATCTTCCATGACATCGATAGCCTGCGCTCCAAGATCGACATCAAGCTGAAGAGTGTTGCCCAGCTGCCGCTGCTGATGCACGAGGAGCACATTAAATATGAGAAGGCGCTGCGCGAAAATTGCCTAATGGCCGAGAAGATGCACACGCTCCAAAAGGAGGCCACACAGCTGAAAACGAAAATCGATGAGCTTGGCAAGCGCAAACTGATCACCGTCAATCGCCTGAAAGCGGCCGAGCGAGATCTGAAGATCTTCAAGAACTACAATGCCACCCTGAAGACAGAAAAGCGACGCATCGCCGACGAGCTGGCCACGATGAGGGCACAAATGGACTCGCTGCAAGCGGCCAGTAAACGACAATTGTCGCGTCATCGCGAGCAGACGGAGAAGCAGCGCCGGGAGCTGCAGAAGCGCATCTTCGATCTGGAGCTAAAGCTCAGCCGTAGTCAAAACTCCACATCGAGTCTCATCCAGGAGCGGGACAGTCTGATTGCCGAGCTGCAGACCCAACTGCACACGTTGGTCCACAATTTCGAGGTATCCCAGAAGCATATACGCGTCCTGCGTCGCCACATCTACACCATGACCACCGGGGGTGTAGTTAGTGGCTCTGCTGCTGGTGCCAGTGCTGGTGCTCCGCACTCTAGCAGCGAACCGAACGTGACAAGGACGAAACTTAATTGACTCAGGCAAACGGAGGATGCGCCACACGCATACTGAGCACCAGTGCCTCAAGAGACATCGACGTCGGCCGGTTCAAGCAAGTTGAGGATATGGCCGAGAGGAATCTTATCTGGGCCATACACTCAATTTGCTTGTAGCCTGTGTTGGCAACTGTTGTTATTCGTGTCGTATCTGCTTATTTTATTTGAAAGCTTTTGATTATAAATTGTGTGCAAAATGAATGATGTTTTTATTTAAATAACTAAAATGCGAATTTTAATTGTTTGGTTAAATTTGACAAAATGATGTCATTTCGAGTGAGTTAAATATTAACGTAATCTAAGTGCTGGCGAGTCTCTTTCTTTGAAAAACTTCTTTAAACGTTTACCACATATGAAATTAATGAGGTAACGAATTGTGAAGGCCTGTTCTATTATTGAACTTGTTCGCCCTTATCTTCACAGTCAAGGGTTCTTGTCGATCTCATGCCAGATGCCCAGTGGCTGACCAACAATTAGTAATCCAAATTCAATTCAACATACATATTCAAACCAAGTTGTGTAAACAATAATCGGATTCTCGCGAACTCTCGGCACACACAGACACAGCTGATGCTGATGCATAGAAATCGCATACGATCGTTCATATACATATATACATATATATATGTATGTACGTAGTATGTATAAACATTTTCCACAGCCACTGATTTTGAGTGGTCTCTGTGCTGCGAGAAGAGGAGCAGCAGGAGGATCGGGTATGGAGACGAAGACGATGTTGACAGCTGTGCTAAGAAGTGCGCAGTGTGGAACTTAAATAGGAAGCGCCGTCGGAGAGCGCCAACGGAATGGCTAAATATATAACAACTGAGAAATCATATAGCGAAATAAGTATGTATATTCATTGGCACACTGAAACACAAATCCAGTTCAATCAAAACACCTTAATATAAAATAAATAAGACTTAATTATTTACCTATGCAAATATAAATTGTTTAAATAGAATAAATTTCTTTAATTAATCTAAAAACCAAATATTGAAATATATCAAACAAACTGAAAAACAAATCCAATTCAAGCATAATGCATTTAAATTTAAATATTAAGCATATTAAAATAAAATATGATTTAGTAATAATACAACAAAATTATTAACAATTCGACATATTCCTGTAATTTCAAAGCTTTAACTAAATGGAAATCCTAACTAAAGCTAGTATTATTTTTTCTACACTCTTTAAACATATTGTCACCAAAAGAATCAGCTTTGTATTTGTATACTATATGTTACAATTAATTTGAATAAACAAAAACAGTGCTTTATTTACAAACTATAGACAAAGACACCTAAACAATATTGTACTGATTTTTTTTAATTATTGTTTTTTTTTTTTTTTTTTTGCTGTGCACAGCTGGTGGGAACGGCGGGGGATTCTGACGCTGACCTGCCGTGCGCTCTTATTGAGCAGAGCAGAGCCAAAGGCGCGACGCTGCAGCTTTTCCGCTTTTCCCAATGTGAGGGCCGCACAGTTGAGTATTCGCACGCGACGCGAGCGGGCTGCCAAAAGTCGAACATGCGCCACGCTTCACTGGCCAGCTGGTATGCCAGCAACACACCGATGACGCACTGCAGCACACTGTTGCTGTTGTTGTGCTTGATGCTGTCGCACGTGCGGGCAAACGACACCAACAATAATAATAATAATAATGCAGATGAACTGTGCAGCATACGCGCCACGTTGTTTGTGACGCCACCGGAGCAGCGCAGTAATGAGGACTTTGGTCTGCCGCTTGACATTGACTGCGCCGGCGCCAACAACAACAGAAGCAGCAGCAACATCGCAAGCGCCTTTGATTTGAGTGCGCAACGTGTGGCGGGCAAGCGACATGTGCTCCTAAATGGCAGTCAGACGCCACCGCTGACCGTTGCCAGTTATGGACTGGAGTATTTGGACAACTGTGCCGAGCTACAAACCATCGAGATTGTGCATTTTGTGTTGGATGCCAGCCTGACGCTGAGCTGCAATGGCTACCAGTTGGACAACCTGCAGGCGGTCAGCCTGCGCCACAATGAGCTGGGCATACTGAGTGGCCACAGCTTTGAGTTGTTGCCGCACTTGAAGCAACTCCAGCTGGAGGACAACACGCTGCGCCTGCTCGAAACGCTCAGCGGCGGTGCGGAGCTGGAGCAATTGATTATCAGAAGGGAGCGACAGCTGTCCTTAAGGCAGGCCGAGATCTTTAAGGAGCTGAGGAAATTAAAACGCTTGGAGCTCATACAACTGAAGCTGGTCGAGGGTGATTTTCTGGCTGTGCTGCCGGGTCAGTTGGAGGAACTGCTCATCCTGCAAACGCCGATTGTGCCCCGCCAGCTGAAGCTCGCCAATGGCAGCGATCATCTGGTTAATTTGACTTTAGTTCATTGTGAGCTGAATATATTTGAACTAGAGCCATCGGAAGAATCCAAGCTGTTGCATTTGAATCTAAGCGGCAACGCCTTGAGGCATTTACAAGTGAATACTAGCTCCCTAATCAGCCTGGATCTCAGCGGGAATTATTTGAGGAGTCTGAACAGCAGCTGGTTCGATAAGTTGCCGCAGCTGCAAACGCTGCTGTTGCAGGGGAATCAGCTGCAGCGGATCTCCTGGGCGCAGCTGGTACAGTTGGCGCCGCTAAGTCTGATCGAGTTGGATTTGAGTGGCAATCAGTTGCTGCGACTTGATGACACCGCCCGAGCTGGCTGGGATCAGCGGCAACAGCTGCGCATCAAAATCGATGATAATCCGTGGAGCTGTCAGTGGTTGCTCAACTTTTCACATACACAGCCGCAGCTCTTTCGATTATTCCGCTATGCCAAGTACATATCACAGATCAATGTGAATGGGCTCAGTTGCAGGCCACAGCTGGACGAGGAGCAGCGGCAACAGAAGGGTTCAATAGATCCAACTGAAGAAAGTGAAGAAATTCAACAGTTGCTGCAACGCAATTCACTCTTGAATGTCTCCAGTCATACGGTGCTCTTTGGCAATCCCATCAACCAGTCACACAGCCAGAGAGCGGAGGCACTCATCATTGTGTTCATGCTACCGCTGGGCATTGCGCTGCTCTTCCTGCTGCTGTATCTGTATCTGCATTGCGAACGACTGTTCCACTGGTCCTATTATTCCGGTGGATTTCCCTGCTGTGCGGGCAAGTCGGCGACAAGTCATGGCTATGTGGATCACTTTGATATCGTTCGTTATGGCAATAGCACTGTTAGCGTCGCAGGGGATCTGGAACCGCAGGCGGATGGCTATGAGACGCCACTGAGTGGCGCCACCTCCATTTGCAATTGTGCCGGGCACAGGCAATCGACGTGCTCGCGTAGCCATCACGTCACCTACGAAGCGATGCCCACGGAGCTGCCATATCAGTTGTACACAGAGATCAAGGATCAGCCAGACGTTGATGGGGGGGATCAGACGCCTGCCTCAACGGGGCCCATTTACGATCAGTTGACGTTCGAGGAGGAGGAGAAGCCGCTGGATGTCTAGTAGTAATATAGATATATATTAGGTAAACATGTATATTGGTAAGTTGGAAATTATAATTTGGAGATTTGAAGTTTCCATTACTTATTATTATTATGTGCTTACTATTATAATTATTGTTATTCCTCGAATTCCTTACTCCTCGATGGAACTAATGACATTTTGTTTAAATTATTATTTTCTTAAAATATATTACACATTTGCTTAAAGTACTTTAGAATTCATTGCATATCTGGTTATTTAGAGAAACTTTTTTGCATTCACAAAAAATATACATTTCTGTTAAAAAGTTAATTAAAATAATTAAAAGAGAATCGGCTGAAGCATCTTTAGCTTATATAGAAACAAATCTTTCGTTTCAGATATGAGTCTAATCTATCCTGACAGCTGGTGCAACCGGTGAGGATTGCTCCGTCTCCCAGTTTTGGCAAGAATTATCATGTTACGTCTTGTTGTTGTTTGGTGTGTAATTTATTGCTAAGTCATAATTCTAATTAAAGTTAATCAATCATTTACGATATATGCATCAACGATGTAAACAGTTTGTTTGCTTGTTTTTCTTGTTTGTTTTTTTTTAGTTTTCAGGAGCTCGCTGGCTTTTGGATGCAACCACAATGCGTCGAATTATGTTTTGCGTCTTCTTGGCAGCAGCTTTGACGTCCTGGACAACAGGTTGCTGATTCTCCTTGCTGTCCGGTGGCGGAGAGCATAGGTCCGGACTGAGATTGTGAACGATGGGAGCATTGCTGCTAAATTGCACATTCTTCTGGGTATCGGCAAATAAGTCGCGCTTTTTTGCTAGTATAGAACGCACTGCATGCATATCGATGGGTTCAGTGCCGGCCTTAGCTCTAACTGGTGTTCCCTTGCGCAACGGTTTCGCCTCGACAATCGCATCAATCTCAATCGGTTCCGCCTTGGGCTTAACGGGTGTGCCCTTGCGTTGCGACTTGGCGGGCGTCAGAACTTCTACATCGTCCTCCGCAATCTCGGTTTTTATTTGCGTTAATGCGAGGGGCTCCTCCTCAGGCTCAGTTTTGGGCGATTCCAGCAGCTGCTGCTCGCTTTTCACTTTGATTTTTCCAAAATGCTGCTTTACGGGTGTGCCCTTCTTAATGGGCTTGGCAGCGATGGCCATCTGTTCCATGGCCTCGCTCAGCATCTCCTCGGACTTAATATTGCACACTTCCAGCTGTGCAGTTGTGTGCGACTCCTTGGGCTCCGACAGCTCGCGTTTTACTTTCATTAAACCCAAGACGGGTTTATTGCCCCCCTGTTTAGTTTTTAGCGGCGTCACAATGACATCAGTTTGCAATTTAACGCTCACACGTGGTGTTCTGAGTGGCGTATCCAAAACTATGATCTCAGCTTGAGTGGTTACGCTCGTTAAGTTCGCTGCTGCTGGTGTTGGGGGCGTGACAATGCGCGGCAAGGCTGCCTGCAGCTGCGACTCCTTAATGTCAAACTCCATGGCGTGAATGGCCTTGAAGGCAATCTTGTGTTCCATGAGCAGATTCTCGCGATCAATGAGCACGCAGCGTGATTTCAGTGATTCAAAGCGCCAGCTGTTAGAGTAAAATATAAATATATTAAGTGCCACGTGATACTAGATTAAATTTCATCTACCGCGCCATTTCCTGTTGCACATTACGCATCTGCTCCTCGACGGTGGCCTTTTGGATGTGCATGCTGTGTAGTTGTGACTTCAGCTCGTCGGTTTCACGTCTAAATGGAATGGGAATGAAGTGAACTAAATCTACACGCAACCTACACTAAATGGCACAATCAACTACAACAAAAACAGTCTGTAGCTGGTGAAGCTGAGCAATTGATTGCCAAGTTTAGCAACAATATGGCCAAAACGTTCGGCCAACTCATACTTGCAGAAATCCAGCATGGAATCGAGCCAAGTCACCGACTTCTGGCTGGCCAGTTCGCGCAAACGCTCTTGCGACACATTTAAATTGCGCTCCAGTTTTGCGTTCTGCTGCAGCAGCTGGCGAATGCGTTCATTGAGCTTATCTGAAATGTTAAATCAAGCATCAGTTTCACCTCCAAATGAACTATTTAATATTCGGTTTGGGTCTCACTCTGATAGGTTTTGTCTGCGCTGCAGAAGATGGTGCTGCATGCCTGCAGTTCTTTGTGCATAGCAATGTTTTCACGCTTCAAGCGATGAATCTCATATTTGCTGTCATTGAATATCTTCTTCATGTCCAAATAGCTCTTCTTCTGGCTAACCAGCAATTGCTTCATCACCTGCCGCTGATCATCGACCTCGGCAAACAGTGAATTACCCTTGCGATCTGTAAGCGAAAAATAGTCTTGAGTTTTATATATACAGAGAGATCAAGAGATTGTTTAGTGACCATTATGTTCGGGTGCACTGGTGAGTAGTGCTATTTTGGCATTGGCATCCACCAGCTGCTCCTGTGCGCTCTCCAATAGCTGCAGCTTCTCCTCGAGATCATCGCGCTTGGAACGCATATTCTCCTCCAGGCAACTAACCTGATCCTTCAGTACTTCAATAGTTTTCTGTATAAGTAGAGCACATTAGTAGTAGTTTGTTGTTAGTGTTTAAAAAGGACGCACCTCCTGCTCGGCCAGGGCAAAGGTATTTTGCACTTTGGCATCCTCGTATTCGGCCAACTTTTGCATTAGCTCCGCATTCTCCAGTTCCAAGACGCTCAGACGTGAGGCAGACTCATCATGCGAGCTGTTTGCTTTCAGCGTCGCATTTAACTCCAGATCACGCGCAGCGCTCTCCAGTTTCGCTCTCAGGGTGGATGTCTCCTCAACCTTGGCGTCGTAATCCTGTTGCAGGATTTCCTGCTCCAGTTGCAGACTTTTGTATTTGCGTCGCACCTCCTCCAATTCCTTCAGCATTCGATCATCGGCGCTGGGACAAGCGGCCTGCGCTTGGGCGCTGAGATGTTCCAGCTCCTGGGTTAAATACTTCTCGGCGGCTAAGGCTGTGTCCAGGCTGCGTTTGAGCTCGTGGATGCGTTGAGCATCGTCCTCGCTGCGCTCCTTCAACTGCTGATGGCGGTCATGGAGTATTTTATACTCTTCGACAATGTCATCGATGCTGAGAGCGCTTAAATCTAAGTTATTGTACATTTTGATTAGCCTAAACAGAACGTTGTTTTCTATATGGCGTCAAAGTTTTGAATTAATTGTGCAAAAGTGACGCTCCCGCAGGGCTGCATGCCAATTTTATATCGATAGTTTTGTCTGAGTGTGCTGTCTATACCGATAGCTTATCAATCAATAGCATTGTTTTAAGTGCAGTCATGAGTCGAATTTAATTAGCGCCATCTGTTGATTATTTACTGGGCGCCAATAATGAATATATTTGAATCTGATTTAAAATGTGTGTAAGATTTAATAATTTATTAAAATGGGAATTTTAAAAAATGTACTCATTAAAATACTTTATTTAAAATCCATATAATTACTTATGCTTCCTAAGCGCATGCGTTGCATTCTCTTGTTGTGGTTGTCATGGAGATTTATTGAGTGTTACACAAACTTTTAGTCATTTTCAACAAATACTTCAAACCAGAAACAAAATGCAAGAAGATTCAGCGGAAAAAACGCAACAATTACAAAATTTTCAATCCGATGATTTGCTGGAAAAGCTAAAATTGCTCAACTATGAGAAGCATCTACTGAGGGAATATAAATTGAAGCCTTTGTCACGTTTCTACTTCGTCAAGGCCACAAATCCTGGCGAGCAATTCTTCATGTTCACCCTAATCTGCTGGTGGCTGTGCAAGAAACTGGGCAAGGAGATGGACAGACCGCAGGAATACGATGATCCCAACACGGTTATAGCCAAGATTATACAAATGCTTGAGGAAATTGTAAGTGTGGATGATGGGTTTGGAACAGGAGCAAGAATTACAATTTTTTCTTCGCTTTTTGCAGGATGTGCCCGTTGACTTTGCGCCCAACAAGCTGATCCGTGGAGCTGGTCCCATTTGTCTCATGGTGCTGGATATTCTGGCCACGCAGGCGGTGAAGCTGATCAAGGTGAATTATCAGCGGGTGCACATTGCCCAGGAGGAGGAGTTTGTGGGCGACTATTTGGAGGACAATGCCGAGATCATATTGGAGAAATTAGAGGATGAACAAAATGCATCTGCACTCAGCGATGACAGCGATCTCGAGCTGGAAGCGCACAATTTCAAGCAGCTCAATTGGCTGAATCGCCAGAAGCGTTCCATGGGCGGGGATCTGGCCGAGGAGCAGAATCGTGAGCTCAACGCTCAGCGGCTCAGCGATCATCAGGAGTGGCGACTGGAACTGGAGCGGGTACTGCAGCAGCTGAAGGTGTGTGTCAAGGCAGATGCTCGGGACTGGCGCACCCACATCACCCAAATGGAGTCGCTCAATGCGGGCATCTCCAACGTGGCGGAGCCGACGCAGATGCAGCTCAAGAAACTGCACAGTGAGTTCACCTTCAGCCTGGAGAAGATCGAGAGCCGCGAGAAGCATCTGAACAATGAGCTCCAACAGCTCATTCAGCAGTACAAGGAGCTCTCCATTGAGCTATCCACTGTGCAATACGCCCAAACACAGCTCCAAGCCGACTCCGAGAAGCAACTAAACCAACTCAACGAGGTGATGGCCGAGCAGGAGCTCAAGAAACAGGAAATGGAGCGACGTGGACAGGTCATGTCCGATGGAAGTAAGTCTTAGCAGCTAACAAATATGAAATTGATGTGCAGAAACATTAGTTTTCAAATATGTTTGCTCCCTATTTAAATATCATTGGAGGAGGTACAATAATTGAAGAAGATGTCAGATTGATCTGCAGTATATCTGCTTTAAATGTAAAGTAGTTTTTATGAGAATACAGATAGTGCATCTATCGGAGACAGCCCGATCGAATCACTATATTATAACTATAACTATCTGATAAGTTCTTGCCATTAAAACTGAATCAAAACTGGGTCAAAACTGTCCGCAAACAGATGTTAAAAAGCTGAACATTTATTGTCATTTTTTGGTCTGCACTTAAAATTGGAAACATGATTTATATAAAAATTAATTTTAAGAATTGACTCAAAGAAAGGCTTTCTCCCCAATCATAACTCGGTCAAAACTAAGTTGATTTTCAAAAAAAAAATCCTTTTAATTACCAATTACCCAAAAACTCTTCAACTTTATAAATTTCTTGCTGACTATTTGGGCAGATTTTCCAATTGCAAAAGTCAGTTGCAGAAACATATTTGGGTATTTGCAGACAACTGCTAAATGTTGCACATTGTTTTCCATTCTGCATGTCAATTTTCACATTCAACATTTAAACGCAAATATTTGTTTTTGCAGGCTCCGTGCAGCAGATCAAGAAATCGATTGTCAAGCTGAAGGATGACATTGCCCAACTGAATCTGGAGGTGGCTCTGCTGGTGCATGCCCACGATCAGGATATTGTGCGTCAAACGCTCGGCGCTGCTGAGCAGCTCAACAACTGATAACCGATAAGCGAATGAATATATATGTTTGTGTGTATATAGGAGTTGTATTTAGCATATGAATGAGATCTGTGGTCTCCGGCATATTTCACACTTTGTTATGGGTGCGTGTTGTTGTGTCTTGTTTACACCCAGTTCGATGCGTATCACAATCAGTTCAGTTCGAGGCGTCGGGGTAGGGGTAGGGGTACGTGTAGGGGTCGGCATTGGGATAGGGATCGGGATCGGGATCGGGAGGTAGACCACCAACGTTGCCCCGCCCCGTCGACGAGTGTTTGATTTGATTGCCGCCGAGTGCTGATAAGCATCGTAATTGGTTGCTAAGCCAATAGGGCGGTCAATTATCACCGCTATGTTATCTACACTTCACACACTTAGGGACACGCGTGTCCTGCACTGATCAGATAAGCGAGCCACGTCTCTTTATCGTCCGCATAGATGAGAAGATGCCGCAACTACCACATAACCTAACCACATAAACTCACCTAAACCAACCAAACCAATCCGAATACCAAAACCCAAAAAACCAAACCAAAGCAAACCTAGGACGAAACCGCGAAAACCCCGAGCTGCCTGTAGGTGTTGCTACCCTCTACCCTCTCTCGCCCTCCCTCTCTCTCTCTCTCTCTCTCTCACACTCTCTGTCTCTCACTCTCTCTGCGCGCACGCGCAAAGCGTTTTGTTTGCCCACTTGGTCGGCTTATCAGCCCAATTCCCAATTGCCAGTTTCAGGACCCGACAGCCACACACCAACTTGTTCTGATTTTCGCTGCGGCTAGCCAAAGGTGCTAAAAGGTTTTCCCAAAAAAAAAAAAAAATAAAAGAAAAACAAAATTACCTTGCACTCGTCGTGGTTTTTCCAACAATCCTTGAAATAGCTGTGCGTAAGCCAATAAATAATAATAGCAAGCAAACCCTGTGTTGAAAACCTTTCTTTACCCCTGCAAACAAATGCATGTCTTTAACCGTTTTAAAGTTTAGTTAATGTTAATAAAAATGTAAACAAATGGACCGTCAAAGCGCTCTGATTGTGCTTAACTTCTTAGCAAACATGGTCTGAATATGAAAGTAATGTAAAATAACTAAAAACTATGAACAAATAATAAATAAAAATGCTGATGATATTTGCAGAATATTAAGCTAATTTTCGAATTTTTAAATTGTTTTTTTTTTTTTTTTAACATAGAACCAAAAAAATTTTTGTTTTTGTGACCTCTTCTTAAAAATTTAAATTCAAAACCTTTTCTTAAGAAATATAGAAGAATATAGAGACGCTTTGTAAGAAATTAATTAATTTTTTTTTTGATTTAAGTGGACAATTGTCAATTTAGATAATTACACAATTTTAATGCAATAATTGAATTTAAATATATTAAATTTATAGGTTTGGCTATTTTAATATGAAAAATGTTTTACAATCTTTTATAAACATTTTAAATATTTTTTAGTGTGGAAGTAATGAAAACTTTTTAATAATCGTTATTGAAATACGAGATTGATAAATATATTTATGATAGTCCGAAATCTTTCAAAACTTAAAAGTTAAAATTCAAATAAAACTTTAGAAAACTAAATAGCATTGACCAAAATGCCAGATTTGAAGATCTTTAAGGAAGAGAAAAGTTCCTGAGTTTTTTGATTGATAATTGACGAATGCAAGAAACTGAATGTACAACAAAGCCAAGAAAATTTCAATTAATTTCGCATACATCTCGCACTCTGCCTCTCTCTCTATCTCCCTCTCTGTCACTCTCTCGCTGTTGCTGTCTCGCGCGCACCATTCCTGTTTGTCTCTGTCTGACTGTGTCTATCTCTGTTTGTGGCATGCAAAATAGTAGAGCAAGTCAAAAGTCATTTTGTGGCTCTTTTCGCTTGCTTGGCATAAATTGCATTATTATTAGGCTTATTTGATATGCGCCGACGACCGAAAAGCTGCAGTGAAATTGCAAAGCCAACAACAACAACAACAACAACAAAAATAACAACAGTAACAACAATAACAATAACAACAACAACAACAAACAACGGACTGTAGCATTAAACTTGTTGTTGCTCCAAAAGCCAAAAGCAACTACTGTTCATTTCCCACGGTAGGATTCGGATGCCATTCCACTGAGTGAGTGGCAGGCAACTCGCGACTTGCGACTTGCGACTCGCCAACTCGCTCTGGGGCTGGTTTTTTTTTTTCTTATATATATATATATTTTTGGTTTTGTTTTGTTTTTGGCCACAGCAAGTCAGAGTCGAGAGTCGAGAGTCTCGAGAGTCGGCTCTGAGTCGGGCAGCAACTACGACTTTGACTCCGACTCCGACTCTGACTCTGACTCGGGCTCGGGCTCGTCTCTCATTGTGTGGCGCTGCTGTGGCAGCGGTGGGAGGCAGCTGGAGCTGGGAGCTGTGAGTTGGAGCAGCTGGATAAGAGTGAGTACGCAGATGAGTTTCATTTTCTCATTGTTTGGCACGACCAACTTGCAAGCTGCCCCCAAAATACAACAACAACAATCAGAAGAAACCTGTTGCCCGCTTCAGCTTTACGTTGAATGAACAAATTTGTGTTCAGTTTTTTGGCCGCTGGCTAAAAAGCATTTGCTGAGCATAAATCGTGATTTGGCCACAGTTGGCCCGAGAGAGCCAAAGATAGTTAACTTAAAGACAACAAAACAGTGCCCATTCCCATACCCTATATATATATATACATATATATATATACACACATATATATACCCAACGCATAGACGCCACCTACAAAGGCGAAAACTTATATTTTGTTGTATTATTTATGATCTAATACAATGTTCACAACAAGCCCCAAAGAATTTCATTCATTTTCATAAGTTCATTCAAGAGATTCCTTTTGTTTGTCATGTTGTCAACATTTGTTGTCTGGTGACCGCTCGCTGTGCTCGTTATCATCAGTCCCGCAATCCCAATCCCTCTGCTCTCTCCCTCTCTCTCTCCATATATATCTCTCTCTCTATATATATAAATATATATATAGCCATCTCTGTCGGAACATCGATTTAAATGCAAATCAAAGTAATAAAACATTTTTTTTTTCTTGATCTTTTCACTCGTTTTTTGTTACCGATACCAGCCACGATTAATTTTAAATTCAATTTGTTGAAGCGGGACTGAAATGGAGATGAAGCTAAATCTGAATCTGAATCTGAATCCGAATCCGAAGCTGGAACTGGTGACACCTACGCGACAAATACAGTCACAGCCAAAGTTATAGCAACAACACCTCAGCTGCTAGTTTTATTATTATTTTCTGTTTTCGGAATTGTTTTTTATTTTTCCTTTTTTTTTTGTGTTTTGTATGTTTGTTTGATGGCTCTAAATCAACGGAAGTTCATGTGGCGCTTAGCACATGAAAATCGATCGTAAATCTTATTTCACAGCTTGGCAGCTTTCTAAACATCTCAGACATATCAGAGAGACTTGAGTAATGCGGGGGATTGCATTTTGGATCAGTTGATAATAAAACTGTTGAGCATTGACTTTTGTGGCCAAAACCCTTTTTTCTTTTTTTTTTTACCACACAAGGTATTTTTATTTGTAAGCTAATGCATTCAAATTGAGTTTTGGTAACTGTTTGGTTTATTGAAATCAAATGGCTTTAAAATGGATTTGCTCGAATTGGTTTTGCTAATGTTGTACTGAAATTAACTTAAGAGACATATTACTTTGCTCGACAATATTTACCTTTATAACAAGTCGTGTTAGTTCGATTTGAAAAAACCCCTGAAGATCGATTTCAAAAGCAAAGTCTGATTGCAGTTTGTTCCATATTAAAATATGTTTCAGTTAACAAACTCAGTTTTTTATTGTTATCGGAAATCGATTTGTATCGATGCAGTTATCGACAAAATGACATCAATTTGATCTGCATTGGTATAAGAGAACTTATATTCCAAATTTAAAGACATCAGCTCTTCTGATCACTGAGGTCAGATTGTGCATTCAGAAGGAGAGCAGGACATGTCTAAACCGACTGGGCTGCTGAATCTGACACAGAATATATACAAGTTATGGTATCGGACATGCTTCCTTCTGCCTTTTAAATATTTTTGCTCAACTTCGTTAGACGCTTCTCCCAATTTTCTTTGGGTTTGGGGTATAAAAATCATACGACAAACATCTTTAATTAATTTCTGTTGAATATTTTATTAGTGTTTATTAGAACAAGTATATTTCTGTCTAATCAATTTGGAAATATAATATATTATCAATGGAATTGGCTTTTCACATCCCTAATTATTTGCACTTCTTGAGCACTCATTCGCACTCCTTGAGAATTAGCTTATCGTGACAGGACAAAAGATGCTGGACTCTTTATGTATTTTTGTTTTTGAACGTTGCACTGTACGCAAAAGTATTAAGTTTCATTAATTTCGAAAATAAAAAAAAAAAACAGAAGAATAACAAACAACCACAATAACAAATGTGAATGAGTTGGAACAAAAAAAAGCACATATTTTGTGAAAAATTAAAAATTCATACGGCAGCGATGCGGTCGCATAAATTTCAACTGTGGCAGCGAAGACAGCAAACAATGCGAAAACGAGAGACGAAGTTGGAGACGTGGGCGTTATATATAAATATATATATAAATATATACTTTTATATATGAATATATCTGAGATCTGAGCTGTGTGTTGTGTCTTTATAAGACTGAAACTGGACCGCAGAGATGGCAGATCGAGGTGCGTTGTCAACAGCTGCAACAATCAGCCAATTTCCAACTGATGACGAAGATGACGAACTTTTTGTTGTTGTTGTTGTTGTTGTTGGTTTTGTTTACGGTGATGATTGCCTCACGGTAGTTGACGGCGCAGAGTTGCCAGGCATATTCATTCAAGGTGCCGGCCAAATTGGTGTGCTTGCCTCTTAAAAAGCTTGATTTATTTTGCTTAGCTGCGCCGTGAATCCATCTGCATAAATTTGAATTATGTACGATCGTAAATTTTCGGCCAGACTTGAATAATATTTGTTGCTGTTGTTGTTGTTGTATGCATCTCTATGTTTGAACAGTTAGCTGCCGTTATAGCGACACGATCCATCAATGAATTCGGAACTCAATGAACTCGTACTATGACCATAAAAACCCATCGTCCATAAAGCGCTATCCATCGTTGATCGTTGAGCAGCTTCCCCCTCGCAGCTTCCCCCTCGCTGCTAAATTCGACTCATTTCGTATGCATTTTAGTTTGTATGTTAATTTTTATGATTTTTTTTGTTGTTGCTGTTGTTGTCTATGGTTTCCAGTTTCCAGTATTTCTGTGTGTGTCCATTGTGTTTTATTTAATTTTAATTTTTATTTCGTAAATTTTAAATTTGTTGTCACTTCTGTAGGAGCGCAAAAGGTTTTTCCATTGTTCGATCAATTCTGAAGCGACAAAAAAAAAAACAAAAACAAAACAAAAACAAAAATTAATACCGAATTCGAAATCGATTTCGTTTGTATTTTATTATAATTGGGTGCGGTGCGGTAGTTTTTTTTGTCTCTCTTCATATATGTATCTATTTCTTTTTTTTCTGCAGAATCGCGTCTGAATCGCTGTCATTGTAGAGACAATTCAATAAAAAAAACACATAAAAAAGAATACGATTTTTTATGAATAGCTCTTTGCATATTTTATTTTTTACAATGTGTGTGTTTTATTTGTGGGTGCGAGGAGGGAAGGCGTCGCTTTTTAGTCATGCATTGAAAATTAATAAAATTTATGGTTTATTTGGAATTTTCGTGGCCTATTAATTTGCCATAAAGCCTGGTGGGCATGGTGTGTGGCAAAGCTAAGTGGCAATCGGTGGCACATACACAGCGAGAAAGCGAAAAAGCTGAAACAATTTAACAATTATGCAATTAAATATTTATTTTAATATTAATCACAGTCTGTTTGATTTTATATAATTCGGTTGTTTGCGGGAATTCATCGAGCTGGTAAATGAAAAGCAAAAACAAAGAATACATTTTATAATGTTAAATTTTATTTTCATTTAAACTGAACTTTAAATTGTATTTATATTATTCTTTGTTATGAACTATTTTGGAATTACATAATTAAATTTAATATTATATCACACGGCTCTTAAGGCCAACTGCAACCTGATTGCCACTTTAAATAAGATAAAAGCGTATTAAAATTTATAATACACTTGGTGTAAGTTCGATTTGATTGTTAAGGCTTCAGCAGCTGTCATTTAAATGTACATATATAGTATATTTAAATGTGCCTGCAGTTGTTTAGTAAAAAATTGCCACTTCACAGTCTGGAAATAAAAAAACAATTTGCGCATCTGCTTGATTGGATATATGCAAGTGTTGGCCAATATATGGAATAAAGCCATCAAAATCGAATCGAGTCTCGCAAGGAGAAACAATTTAACCATTTTTGTTTTTTAACTTTATTGATGCTTCATGTCAATGCTTGCCAGCTGCGCAATGCGAAAACTTAATTAAAAATACAATAACAGGCACCAAAAACAAAAAGAATAATAAAAAAATAAGCGGCCATCCTTTTTGGGGCCACTTAATTAAAATAACAAAAGGCGCAGAGTTGTGTAAAATTAACGAAATTCTTCTTATCTTTCTCAGCTTATATGTATGTGTTTCTTTCTTTATTTTTTTGTTTTTTCGTTTTGTGAATGAAGCGTTTAGTTCATTGAGCAGAAGATGAGGCGAAGAAAATGAAAGGCAATCAGTTAGAGCAGGCAGCGAGATAAGCAGACAATAAATATGAGCTCGGCCCTTTTGCGGCGCATTACAAAAATGTATTTCGATATTTCTACATTTGTTCATTCTTCTTCTCTACTCTCGTTTTGTGTGTATTTCTTCATGTTATTTGGTTGTTTGCTGGGCACAAAGAGGCCACACAGCGACAAAATACAAAAATAAGAAGAAACAAATACACGAAGAAGGCAATTCAAAAGTTTCCCATGGCGGCACATACACATACACACACACACACACACACAGATAGAAACACACGCACACAAAATGGAGCCGCAACAGCTAACAAAGTTGGCAGCGCAGTCAATGCGGCGTATGCGTAATACGGCTGCTTGGCTCGCTGCCACTGGTTTTCAGCACACACACACACACACACACACATACAAACACACACACACACAGAGACAGGCGAATGCGAGAGACGAGAGACATACGAGAAACGGGTTAAGGGCAGGCAGCAACTGACAGTTGAGCGCCAGCAGCGACGCAAACGTTGCTGCCATTGGCCGCCCAAAAGCGCCACAAGGCAACGCCCACTTAACAACTGAGCATGTGTGTCTGTCTGTGTGTGTGTGTGTGAAAAAGAAAGTTGTCTGCGTTGCACGGCAGCTAGATGACAGCCAGCAGCTGCCGAACAGAGACAGCACCACATGAACGCATGTGCTAGAGCGAGAGAGCGTGCCTACTGAGCTTTTTTCGCCCAACGACGTCTCTTTTGCATATACACACATATACAGCAGTTAATTTATGTGTGTGTGTGTGTGTGTGTGTGTGTGCTTTGCGCACGCTCTTAATTAAAATGTAAACCTTTTAGTTTTTTGTTGGTTTGGTTTCGGCGGGCGTGGGCGCATTTAGGTTTAATTAACAGGGCTGCACGCAACGCCCCAGCAGAGTGCTCAAAAAAAAACACACACACAAAATACTTAGCTCACCTGCTCTCGCGCACACACACACACACACACAGAGCGAGAGAGAGAGAGAGAAAGAGAGCGCGCGCGAGAGAGAGAGATGCGCGCGGTTGACGCTCTCATCCAATCAGCGGACGTTGCGCTCACTCAAACTCGTTTTTGCGCTCAATTGTGCTAGAGCGAGACGGTGCAGAGACAATTGAATGCGAGCAGCGAGCAGCAAGCAGCAGCGAGCAGCAGCAGCAGCAGCAGAAGCTGTTTTATGCTCTTGTTGTTGCTGTTGTTGCTGTTGTTGCTGTTGTTGCTGTTTCAACACAGGCAGCTGTTAAACCCATCAAGCTGAAGTTTCGATCGTAACTTTGCAGTTGACTCTCGCGCACAGAAGCGTTCGGAAGTGAAATATATTTTATTAATAATATTAGCAGACGAGCGCTGCTTTCCAGCTTTCCAGCTTTCCCCCCAGAGTCTGTGTTAACGCTTTTTTTGTGTACTAAAATTTGAAGAGCCGATCACAACTCAATGTGGAAAACGCAGCAAGCAAACAATCGTAACTAACAATTTTGGAGAATTTTGACGAATTGCGGACTAACACAATAAAAAAATAAAAAAAAGAATAAGGTAAGCAGACGCCATTTTGTTAGACGTTGCCATTTTGTGGCTACTGTTGAAAGCTGCCGCACTTACGCAGCAGCAGCAGCAAGTAGGTAAGAAAGACAGAGAGAGAGGTAGACAGACAAAGAGAAAGAGAGAGAGAGAGAGAGACAGAGATAGCGAGCAAGTGCGCTTAGAGCGCTACTCGTCTTGCGCATGCGCAGTAGCCGAAGCTTATAAGAACTTGCTTCGGCTACTGGTCTTCAGCTTCTCCTTCGTGTCACGAATGCATCGACTTCGTCTTCGTCTTTCGTATTCGGCTTCGGTTTTCAGCGCTCGTGCTTGACCAGTTAGAAAGAAGAGCTAGGCAGAGCTGCGACTGCTGCTGCTGCTGCTGCTGTGGCACTACAGTAGTCCGATGACTCACACACACACACACACACATTTACATACACTACTGTATTGAGCCGCACTCAACACACACACACACACACTCATATACACATTGAAACGCCTTGGTATTGACTGCGTCGTCGCCGCTTCCTCAACTTGGCAGCAGCGACGCAAGCAGCAGCAGCAGCAGCGCTCGGCAGCAGCAGCAGCAGCAACAGAGTTGACTACTATTTCTTTCAGTTATTAGTAGCATTCATTCATTCAACTTTGTGCCGCGCAAGCGTGCGTAGTTCCTCAGTTCCTTCGCGAGTACCTTTTTCAAGCAAAAAAAAAAAAAGAAAGAATTATCTATATACATAAATAATAATAAGTGATCAACACATACAAATTACTAAACACACACACACACACACCTACTTACAAGCCAGGCAATTACTCTACGTGACTTTAATGCAATCGTTGCCCAGTTGTCGTCGCGTTAATTCCAGTGATTAGCCGCAGTAGCAGCAACAGCAGCCAAAGCAGAAGCAGCAGCAGCAGCAGCCTCAGCACTTTACACGTATTTCCCATTGGGTAAGTTGGTTTCTCGTCGTCTCGTTTTTGTTTTCGATTCGTTTTCGTTTCGTTTTTGTTTTTTTCTTCTTTTTTGCCTATGCGCCTGCGCAGTTACGCAAACGTCGCCATTGCTTTGGCCCTGACTGCGCAGTCGGCGTCGCAACTAGGCGACGGCGTCGCACAGTAGCCAATTGTTGGCGCTTGTGTTCTACTATACCCCTTCTTCATCTTCTTCTTCGTCGTCGTCGTCGTCGTCGTTCTTGTTGTTCTCGTTCTTATGCCACTTCGTGTGTGTTTACTTGGCTACCAGTTTTACGCGCTTTCATTGGCCCAAACCAAAATGTGCGTAAGCGCCTCTCTCTCACTCTCGCTCTATGCTTGCGTGTGTATTTTCAAAGTAATGGATTGTCAATGGCGTTCGTTGAGCTTTTTTCGCCTGCGTATTCAAGGGTCACACAAAATGGCGACCATAACGGAATATCTAATATGCCTATTGGAAATGCACGCGCGTTGGGTGGGTGGTGGAGAGGGGAAAGCAGACAGGAGATATGCCATACAGAAGCTCAATTCACGCATATCACATTTGATCTTAACTTTCCTAGTGCCATGACTATAATTATAATCTTAGATAGTCAACAAATTGAGCCCATCATTTAAATACTTATACTATTTTTATTTTTTATTTATATTTTACTTTAATTCATTAAACAGCTTTCCATTTAGTTGTACTATTTAAATTCAATTATTATTTTTCTTAATAATAATAGTTTCATATTAATCTTTTGCCAAAATGCCGACGGCATCTCTGCACTTCATGACTTATGGGTTTTACTCTGTTCAAGTTATAAGCGCATGAGTCAGCACAACTTAGTCAATTTCTTATAAACGATCAAGGTCTGTGCGAGGTTAAACGAACTTGCCAAACGCATAAATCGAGTCATATACACAACCGCAAATGAATTGTTGCCTAAGAGAGTGCCTTGCCACACAGATCATCAATTTGATCTCGCTTAAACTAAGCACTGACTCACGCATATTGCGTAAACTTAAAAACTTTTGCTGCATGAGTTGAATAATGGAACAAGTATTCGGGTCTTTCAAAAGCCTTAGATTTGTTCGAATGGTTTGTTACTTCTACTAATTAGAATCTTCAGAAATGTGTATTTTTCGATCACCGTCGCTTAGATTCTGTTATTTTAATTGTCAATGCCTGTCTCTAAGATTCTGGTTCTAATTATTTGATTCTGGCATACTCGAGAAATCTCCAAAACTAATTTACACAAGTCTTTAAACTTCAAATATGTGTTCATCAGTTTTGCAAGCAAAGCGTTGACATTTGCGAGGCATCACTGTAATTTTACAATCTCTATATTTGCTGGCACCCCCTGGCCATATTATTGGACTCACTCAGCATAGCCCAAGGTGAGTTCGTCCTTTGGGACCACACGCTGAGTGCCATCAATTAGACATAAATTAGTTAGGCAAACGATCTAAAGGACATTTGGCACCTTGCGTGAAGGATGTCAGTCTTCAGTATCCCGTAATCCCGTCTAACTGTCTGTCACAACCGATCATGCAACAACCGCTTGGCACTTGCAACACAGTGCGTGCGTGTTTTCCCACAACCAGCCCTGTTGTTTGTCAGGGGTGAATCTATCTAACAGATAGATTCGCGTCGCTGTCAAGTATCTTTTGTGGTTAGGTGTTGGCTGCTTGTCTCCTTTAGTCCTTTTATTTCCTATTATATTTGTTTAGTTGTGTCCAGTTTCGCGCGCCTTTTGCTCCTCGAGCTGCACATTGTTCTCATTCTGGTGACTACTTGAGGAGACTAATTGTTCTTGGCTGCGTCGCTTTATTTTTCTCGAGAATTCTGCGCCATTAGCACAATTAGATTCGTATCAAAATCGTTTTCGGTGCCTTTGTCCTTTTCATTTATACGTTCGGCTTATTGTCATTTTTTCCACATTTCGGCTGTAATTTTTAATGACACCTTGCCAACTCACTGTCCGCCTACAAAAAAAAAAAACACACACACACAAAAAATACATATAAGAAAAGGAATAAAAAATAAAGGCCATTGGTAAGTGTGGTAATCGCTTTTGACCATGTCTGCATTTGGTCTGTACCCAGGGCCCTTAACAGCGCAACGTGTGTGTCACTCGTTCAGTCTCTCCCCCTCTCTCTCTCTCTCTCTCTCTCTCTCTCTCTCTATTCATATATATATCTCCCTGTCTCTCTGCCTGTCTGTTGCTGTTGCTTTTTAGATCCTTGCCTTATCGGCGTGTACCGCTACACATTATCGCTGGGCCGGGGTGTTAAACTGTAACTCTTCGGCACTTTTTTCCTGGAAGTCGCTGGCGCACTCACACTTATACAAACACACATACGCACACACACACACACACACACACACACACACACACACACAGCCGATTTAGATACGATACCCGATTTCTTGTGTGTTGCCATTTTTGGTGCAAATCTAATTTCACGCAGCATTAACGCCTTTCGCATGCCCTTCACAGAGACTCAACTGCATCTCCTTCTGCCCTCCACTCATACACACACACACACACGCACACCCCGTCTGAGTTTCATGCTGTGCGTGTTGCTTATGGCTTGATCTTTCACTATATATCGGCAGTATCTCTCTCAGACCACTCGTTGCGCTGTGTGTACAAAACACTAATTATTTTCACTTCGGATTAATGGGATTAGCTGCATGTTGTACAACAGTTTATTATACAATATTTTGTCCGTCTCATAAGCATGTACGGCTGTAGATAAGTCTGTGTGGTCTACCTTCTCGATCTGTGGGTGTTACTTTTTTCTTTTTGGCTTCAGCTAACGCTAAGCGGCTTAGCCAGTTGGCAAACAACAGCAGTTGGTAAACAGTTTGGCTAACACCAAAGTGATTATGAGCAACTTGACACCAGTTATGAAAGTGCTATGCGGTGTATGTTCTGCAATAAAAAGTTCAAGGTACTTTAGGACTTTTATGCAATATACCAAACGGAGTTTCACAAAATAAATGCTTCGATTTTCAAACTAATCAATAAGTTATATGTTCACAGAATGGAAATCACATATGCATTTCAAAGCTAAAAGTCTTTTTTAAGTTTTCTTTTTTCTACAAGCTTCTAATTTTAAAGATTAAAACATTTGGATTTATAACCATGAAAATAAGGCTCTGACATATTTCTCAACACCTTGATAACGATGAAAATTAATAATAACACATTTTTGAGACATTTGATTTGGTCATGTTAATTTTAAATTTTTCAATATTTCTCTTTGTCTTAGACCAGCTTAATCTGTACTTTTGAGATGTTACTTTTAAATATAGACATATATTGCTCTTTATTGTATACCATTTCAGTCTACTATAATACTATATAATACTATAATTTACGAATAGAAAGTACACTCATCAATCGATACCAAACTTCTTAACAAATTTGCAGAGTTTTCTTATTTAAATCGAAACAATTGTTAAGCAACACAATGAAACAGATTCCATCTTCAAATCATAACTTTAAATAGTAGACAAGCAGTTAAATATTATATTTAAATAGTCGAATAGAAGCATACAAAAATACTATACAAATGTGAAACACAAGTAGAACTTGGGCACATAAAAACAACTTAAAAGAATTAGAATTATGAAAGTGGGCCTTCAATGATTATGGCAATTATAATGATGTACTTCATATGTACGTGATGTACATATAATATTTATATATATATATTTATATATATATATTTATATATATATATTCAGGGCCATTCAATTGTTGTATGCAGATAAATGAATTTAGCCACTTCTTGAAGGCATTCAGCCAACTTAAATAAAGTGCTTAGGCACAGCCGTTAGCCATGGCTAATGTTGCTCCATTTAGGCCCACGCCAAAGAATGTCTAAAGCAGAACTCGGGAAACAGAAAACAGAGTGGAATTGGCTGCAGATGCAGCTCGTCGTAGCCGAATCCATATCGAATCCCATGGCCTTATGCAGGCGCCCTGTGTCGCATGATTAACGGCGTTAAAATGCCAATGTGACGCCACATTGTGTACACAAATTAACATGGAGCTTGGAACTGAAGTTGGAGTTGGGGTTGCGGTTGGAGTTGGACTACGACTCCATCTGCCCGCGCTAACCTGGACGCCAAAAGTCAGTGTTATAATTTGAATATGTTTAGTGGGCATTAATGTTATAATGACAATAACTACGTAGCGTCTGCGCCTGCTTGCAACACCCGCTGTGACGTTTGCCTTTTGTTGTCAACGTTTTTGCCCCCAGCCACAAAACCCCAAAGAGTTCCAGCTGCGAACGCTCGCAAAGTCCATTTGAGATTCAAAAAAAAAGAAGAAAAAAACTCTACATACTACATATAAATAAATATTGAAATCGGGGCTTGCCGAGAGACGTTGTCGCTACCAGTCAGCGCAGGCTTTTGTTTAAGCAGAAAAACTCTTGGTATCCCAATTCGAATGCCAAGAATGTATGGCATAACATTAAGGGACTGACACGTATTTATATACACATATTCATATGCATATCTGTATGGATATGTATATATGCAACATCCAGCGGCGCCGAAATGACAAAAATAAAATTACATAAAAAATAACAGTTATTAACTACCGAGCAGAGCCCAAATGTTGCCCCCAAAATCAACTGGCATAAATTTAACTTCCAGTTTTCTCAGTCGCGGGCGCCAATTAAAAATAAACTTGTTACAGCGCCACTTTAATGAAGCGACTCAAATATGGCAACTCAGACAGACAGTTGCCCCAGCGATCGACACCGTTTGCCACAGAGGCATAAACACTCGCCGAGTGCATTTGTGACGCCTCTCAGTGTGTTTATTGCCCTCGGTTGTCCTATGTGAACTAAGCTGTTCGCCTAGCCACGATCATTAAACTTCGTATATGGTCTTCCTATGGCAGAAGATGTGTTTTTATGTTGATTTCATTACAATCGCATCATTTTATTCCCTGGCTTTCATTGCAGGAATGCAATTCAAGATTTAGCGTTAGTGTGCGAACCGTGAATTTTTACAAATTTATTGTGGCAATTGTCTAAGAGAAATACCAAATTTTAAATTAATTAAAGTGAATTAATTCTATTATTTTTACTGATGTAAAAAAATTTATTATTATTTTATTTTAATTTTCTAATTAAAATATTAGCATTTGAGCTTACTGCTGATGAAGGATATGAATACCCTCTACCAAAACTTAAAGAGTATGCAAGTTTCGTAGTTTTATTTTATTATTATTATTTTTTTTGGTATTGCTAATTGAGCAATTGTGTTGCGGAAGTACAGTTGCCAACAAATAACGGCAGCTGATGACAGGGAAACTGATACTGAACGGGGTCAACAAACAATGCGCAAAGTTGGCATTAACACACACAGAACAACAGCAACAACAACAACAAAAGAAGAAGAAGAATTTTAATGGAAAAAAATAAATAAAACACAAAAAACCAAGTCACAAGTTGTCGTTTAAGACAAATTATAAGCGAAGGTTAGCAACTGAAACTGGGCGGCTGGTGATTTGTAAATGTCAACACCACCACCAAGACTGTGTGGTTGCGTTTGGGCCAGCAGCGGTTCAGGCTTTAATGAGTCATTTTCAATTTCATGTTGTGTGATTTAAGTTGACGACTTGTTGTTGTTGTGGTTGTTGTTGTTGCTGTTATTGTTATTGTCATTATTGTTGCTGATGTTGTTATGGTTGTTGTCGTGGTATTTTCGCTCAAATTTATTGGCACATAAAAGATGTCGCAGGCGTTGCTAACTTTATTTAACTTTGTTTCTTGTCTGTATACGTTTTTTTTTCTTTTTAGGTGTTTGCCTTAAAGTGCGCCATAAACTAAAAGGCAACGGCAACAACAGCAGCAGCAGCACCAGCAGCTGGAGAGACGGCCCACCCAAAACGCCTACAACAACACGGTGAAATCACAACAACAGCCAACAGCCAACGACCAACGACCAACAGCCAACGAGCGTGTGACAAGAAGAAAAAGCAGCAATAGCAGCAACAGCAGCAGCAGCAGCAGCGTTGCCACATTTTAACAGCAACAGTTAAAGAAAAAAAATAGCTTGTGTGTTTGTAGTTGTTATCTGTAATAGCAATAGAGATAGCGATTACGCTTCGAGTACCGTTAACAGCGTCCAAGCATTTGCGCTCATTGCACAGAGCAAAGCTCAAAGCTCCAGCACCACCACCAACAACAACAACAACAGTCAACTGAGTGCAAGAGATCGAGTAAACAGAGCGGCAAACTGAGAGTGTGTGTTAAGGAGAGTACACAGAGCAGAGAAGAGAGAGAGAGAGAGAACGAGAGAGAGTGAGTGTTCTGTGTATGTGTGACGGAGCAACAACAACAACAACAGCAACTTCACCCACTGATTGTGTGAGCATTGAGCGCACGTAGGCAAACGACACAGAAAAAAAGAAGAAAAAAAAAAAACGAAAAAAGAGGGAAAATATATCGTCTGTCAAAATGTTTGCTGTAATGCGAATCGACAACGATGACTGCCGGTCGGATTTCCGTCGCAAGATGCGTCCAAAGTGTGAGTTCATTTGCAAGTATTGCCAGCGGCGTTTCACCAAGCCATACAATCTGATGATACACGAGCGCACGCACAAATCCCCAGAGATAACATACTCCTGTGAGGTCTGCGGCAAATACTTCAAGCAACGTGATAATCTGCGTCAGCACAGGTGAGTTGCACAACAAAAACAACAACAACAACAACAGCAGCAGAACACTTACCATTTTCATATCCATAAACTTCAACATGTTGTACAGATCAACATATGTTTATGCATCTGTATGTGTGTGTGTGTGTGTGTTGCGTGAATTGGTTTTAGAATACAAATAGCACTCAAGTGGTACTATTACATGTGCATGCAAAACAAACGAACAATTATTGTGGTGTTGGTTACGATATATATTTTGGCTCTAAGTGAAACTTACATGTACATATAGAACCGTTTGCAAATATTTACGTATATATATAAATATTTTTCAGTTCAGTTACCACGCTATTATGGTTTTTTTTTTTAGTCTTTAGACTAGTATAAATTGTGAATAGCCAGATAATTCATTTAGTAGAAATTACTTTGATAAGTTTTCAGGGAACTGATCGCTTTCCAGTTCTTTGTATTAAAATCACTTAAGTCATGGCACGTAAATAAAATTATATATTGGTCTTTTGATAAAGAACAATTACCAAATTCATTACTTATCAATAAGAGGAAAATTCATTTGTCATTGTCAAAATTATTATTTTATATAGTATACTTATATTTATTAAAGGGGACTTTCAGTGAAATACAAACAAAGATTAGTCTGATGCTATTTTGCTAAATAGAAATATATATATTCATTCCATTAGGTTAATAACTATTTGTCAGTTTGATATTAGTTGGGTTACCTTTTAACCTTTTCTTTCATGAAAGCTCTTGAATATATATGGAAAAGCTTCTGCACACATACACACATACAACTTCAAGCACTTATACACATTCTATCCACAAGCACACACACACACACACATACACATCATATGGCGAAGAATGTTACATCTGATTATTATTTTGACTATTTATCACAACAACAACACAACTCTACTACATCACTATTTTGTTTCTCTATTTTCTCTTTTATTTGTAGATGTAGTCAGTGTGTTTGGCGATAAGCTAAAATATCATAAATACAATATATACAAAAAAAAAAAATATTTACAAAACCAACACACAGCAATATAAAATATATATAAAAAGACACCATCAGATATCTAAAGCACCGCAGCACCAACAGCAAAAGCAACAACCGCACGCAATATCACAAATATTTTATAGAAAAGAAAAAGAAAAGAAAAAACAGAAGCAAGGGGCAACTGTCTTATAAATATAGCGCTATCGATATATATGTTGGTAATCGGTAATCGGTAATCGGCCGCTGCAGCAAAGAACAGCAAACAGCAAGCACAGCATTTTACCAACTCAAACACGCCTACCGCCTACCGCCCACCCTCATGCACTGCACAAAAACACGCTTACTACCAGATCCAATCGTCATCAGCAGCAGCAGCAGCCGCAGCCGCATCAGCAGCCGCAGCCGCAGCAGCAGCATCAGCAACGGCAGCTGCAACAGGCAGCTGCAACAAGTGCAACTGCAGCGATAAACATCGGAATGCAATCGGGTGTTGGTATAATCGATAATTCGCTTATGTTTATTATACGGTTTGGCTGTCATTTTCTTCTTCTTCAATTAATAATTAATGGTCTATCGAAACGTGCACTTGCCACGCCCACCAAATGTTGCGCAGGCGCAGCACCAGCACTAACAACAACAACAACAACAACAACAACATCAGAGCAACAACAACAACAATTTACAATAATCTTTGCAGAAATTCACACATGGACACCTGCGGGCGTGCCTACAACAAATAGGCATGCAACAACATATGCAACATGCAACATGCAATATGCCTCAGCATCATTTCAAAGTTAGCTTTGTTTATGGAAAGCACAATTAAGCTCAAGCTTCTTGTGCTTTCCCCGGCCAACAATAAAGCAGCATTGAGTGCTTAACATCATTCAACAATAAATCAATCAACCATGCAATCAATCAATCAATCAATCAATCAATATTTAATCAACAGCTGCAATTCTCTTGCCTTATAACTCGGAACTTGTGCGATCCTCTCGCTATCTTATTAATAATACAATTAATTACAATTTAATAATAAAACAACAAAATAAATCTTAAGTATTTTTATTTTAAAATCACAAAAATAAAACAAACAAACAAACAAACACGTTGAAAATGTATTACATAAAGTTTATAATAATAATAAATAATAATAAAAACAAAAACTATTAAACTATATAATGAATGATATATGCATTGTTTTGTTTAAGTTTACCAATTAAAGATGTAAACATCAAAATGAAAAACATTGAAAAATATATACAAAAAAAAAATCGAAAAAAAATTCACTTGAAAGCATGAAAAAAGTTTTTTTTGAGTGCGATGCAATAAGATTGTAAATGTTTTGCTATTTATATGAAAATAAAACGAAAAGAAAATCTAAAAATACACAGAGAGAAACCCATACGCAATATGTATTACATGCAGCGGGCCACGCACACAAAGGGTTTGGGGCGGGCTTGTGGATATCGCTGGCATCGTCTGCATGCACATATAAATAAATAAATAATAAAATTAATAATAATAATAATCATAATAATAATAATAATAATAATATTTTATTTTAATGTTTTTAATATGTATGATGACTTTTTTGTTTTTATTTTTGGCATTTGTGGTAAAGACAAAAAACAATAAGTAAATAAATAAACATATTTATACAATGTAAACCTTTAAAGTGTTGTTATTTCTCTTTCTTAGCCAGTAACCAAACCACTGTGAATTACTGTGAATTAAGTAAGTATGTTGTATGTTTGTCTGTTTGTCTGTGCGATTTTATATAACATAACAATTTTGTTTAAGTGATTAGTCAATTGATTAAACGTGTTGGTTGATTATATTCTATTTAATGAATGACTTAATGTTTAATGCATTTATGCATGCACTTGACGTGCTTGTGCTTCTGTTAACTAACTGGAATCCATTAATCTATCCAAAGTCATCTCTATTACACATATTTTCTTGAATAAATAAATGAATACGAATGTATTCGATGAGTGAAAATGATTGATGTGTAATTGAGAGTTGGGTGTTGAAATTGCTTGTTTTTTCCACAGCTTTAATAACTAATAGTCATTAATTGAGACTTTTCCTTGGCTATTTTGGTCTTACATATTTTTATAAATATTTATATATGCTAATATTTGTTTATACAGAAGCTTACGTAAGCAGATCTCTAGCGGGAAAAGTATTTCCAAAACGATGTTGTCTGAGCTCAATGGAAACATCAAATAGTAGAATAATTTATAAATATATAATATATTTAAAAAGTTGAAATAGCAAAATAATTTTAAGAGGATAACTTAATAGAAAGTAGAGAGAATTCGTCTAGGAGATGCCCTGAAGCCAGCTGTCAAATATACGGGTGTCAATCACGGTCATATCTTTACAATGGTTTCTTTTATTGATATCGGAAATCGATTTGCATCGATTTTCGCGAAACAAGGCAGTTATCAATGAAATGAAATATACTTGATCTGCGTTTGGCATTTAAGAAGTTATACTCCAAATTTGAAGAATTTAGCTTATATTGTCTCTGAGATTATAAATTGATATACTTTATGGGGTTCCAGGTATTCTTATGATATTTATTAAAGATTCAGAATATAGGAAAGAAGAAATAAATTAATCTAAAAAAAAATAAAAGTAGAAACAGATAATTATTCCGTTGATATATATTGTTCTGTACTTTACCAAATAACTAACTTCTATTCTGCCAGATGGTAGACTGATTCTCCCCCATCCCCCTCCCCGCTCACACATACACACACACACAGAAATATTTGTAATTGCATTTGTGAATGTGTGTGTGTGTGTGCGTTGGTTTTATCTTCTGCATTGCATTATTTGCTATCATTATCATTGACCATTTATATGCATGCATTCACCCCTAGACACACATCATTAAATGCACCATTAAGTATCCAGTACCCCCACACTGCCTCCTCCCATGCACTTCTTGTGGAACTGTTACCTTTGTCGGCTCAATTGACCCCCGTGTGAGGCAGCGAACCTTTAACAAATTAGTAAGAACGACAGAGGGAATTTCACATTGAAAGCGGGTGTCATAAATCATTGGTGTTAGTTGCCACACGCTGCGCTTCGTGTTAATTAAATATTGACTATGTTTTGATAAGCCGTAACATTGCCGCATCCAATTTTCCCAAATGAGCAGACCAAATTTAAATGTGCCCAGTTGGTACTTGGGCCACGTTGCACGTTGCACGGCAGGATGCGCCACACTTGGACTCGGACTCCGACTTCGGTTCAAATGCGAACTGGCAGCCGATAATGAAAGCGTTTCCAAATGCGAAACGAATGCTAAGACGGCTACTGTGGCGAGTGTGTGTTTGTGTGCTTCTGTGTGTCTGTGTGTGTGAGTGTGTGTGTGTGTGTGTGGATTGTGTCTCAGGATGCAGCGCGCTGCAGCAACCGCATGTGGTCGCACTCGGTGGACTGTGGAAGCACGTGTGGTTTTCCGGCTAACCGCGTTCCGCTTGCCGCACTCCGATCGCCAATCTTGACTTAGGCTGCCGCTTCCTGCTGCTGCTTATGGTATTAAAACTAAACTGTTTCCACCTACCCGCAAAAAAAGGACGACAACTGGCGCAGTTTGACTTCTGCAATGTTTGCACAACCAAACACACACACACACACACATACGCACACTCGCTGGCTCGGCACACACGCACAGTGCAACTGGCCAAATCTGTATTGTGGCTGCGTGCTGCGTTTTTGGCCACCACCCGTCGCTTTTGTTGGCTTAGACGCAGCTCTCAATCTTACCAGTCAAAGTCTATCTCTCTCTCTGTTTTTCTCTCTCTCTCTCTCTCTTTCGCTCTCTCTCTTTGTCTGCCCACCCACTCACTGTGCGCTCTGTGGCCATCCTTCAGGCCGCCTTATCAATTGCGGCCATCAAAGTTGCTGATTCAACACTTCAGTAGCGCAATCTTCATTTCCGGCTTTTTTTTTTTTAGTTTTGCTCAGCTTACAGCTGCACATTTTATTTTATTGGCCACGTGAGTCATGCAACACTTGCTGGACGCTTTTTGCATTTGGCCAACTTCGGTTGCCACATCATAAGCACATTAAATAATCGTCACTTTGACTGAAAGAGTGTTTTGTGCTTTTCTCTCTGCTTTACATTTTTGTTGCATTTGACTCATCTCGGTGACTTTCTAAGCCAGTGGCCTTCGCATAAATCTCAGCGCTCAACGACAACAATATTTGGCAACAGTTTAACGGGTTTCAATTGCCCCGCTTCAAGGTGCGACATCTTCAGACTCCAGACTCCGACTCACACCTGAGCCAACGCTGTCTAACTCATTAGATGTCATTAGCTGATAAGCGCTGCTGATACACTAACCCAGCGGGTTAGCTGACTATGTAAGAAATCAAAATAGATCGCAGTATATATACAAAAAAAAAAAAAATAATAAAACATATTTATAATGAATCACACGATTCTTAGCTGCATATAACCAAAAAGTTCACTTCGGCAATTATGGAATTAGTAAAACAATTTCAGTACTGAAAAGTGAATATATTTGCGGAATTATGCCGATATTGTTTAATATTTTTGAAAATTAAATAAAAATAACATTTAAATCCTTTTTTCTTAATCCTTGAAGTCACACAACTTGCTACAATATGTTTAAATATAGTCAAAAAATAACTTTTATTTCTTGTGATTATTAGCTGAAGTGGGCTTGAAGGCAATATTAACTTATAACTGCAACTTTTTTCAATTTAAGCTACTGACAGATTATTTTATATAACTATTTTTTATTTGCTATTTATAGCTTGCACAGTTAGACTTAAAGAGCATACAGGATTCGCTATTGGCACGAGGCTCATTAATTCCGTTTAATTTATACGTAATATCTGACAGAGGCAAAGTCAGAGGCTGAGTCGCGTCTGGAACTGTGGCGGCAGTCAGGCAAGCAGTCATAGCTGTAGTCCATAGCTCTGTGGATGAGATAGCATCTGGGGCGACGTATTGGAATGCTCCACCTTGTTGTCAACACGTAGCATCGCATAATTTTGCTTTTACTGTTAAGAGACGACGACGCCTCCGTCTGTCCGTCCGCTCGTCTGTCGTCATTTGTTGGACTGGGAGCCGCTCCTGTGCCGCTGTGGGCTGCAATTAAAAAAGCGCAACTACCACAAAAATGTACAGAGCAAAATCCCAAAAAAAAAAAAGAAAAGAGAAGCAAGGCAGCAGTAGGCAACTTGCAACTGGTACCCAGAAACAGACCCAGCTTCAGCTTCAGCTTCAGCTCAAGCTCAAGCTCAAGCTCCAGAGTGCGGCACGTACAACGTGCGGCTATTTGTCTGCTTTGTTGTTCCTCGTGTTTGTTCCTGCTGTTGTTATTGTTGTTGTTGCTGTTGTTGCTGTTG